AAAAAAAAAAAAGTGGTGTTATTAGCCATCAAACCTCAAAAATATACTTTCCCCAAAAGGTTTCCACAATTTTAGCCACTACTGTATATGTGCCTGAAATAGATCATTTCACTAATGTTGCTGTTACCTGAAATTCCTGAAGGAATGGCAGCATGTCAACTCCATCCATCCATCCATCCATCCAACCAACCAACCAACCAACCAACCCAACCCATCCACCCATCCAACCAACCCAACTCAACTCAACCCAACCCATCCACCCATCCAACCAACCAACCAACCCAACCCATCCACCCATCCAACCAACCCAACTCAAGTCAACTCAACTCAACCCATCCATCCATCCGACCAACCAACCAACCAACCAACCAACCAACCCAACCCATACACCCATCCAACCAACCCAACTCAACTCAACCCAACCCATCCATCCATCCATCCATCCATCCAACCAACCAACCAACCAACCAACCCAACCCATCCACCCATCCAACCAACCCAACTCAACTCAACCCAACCCATCCACTCATCCAACCAACCCAAGTCAACTCAACTCAACCCATCCATCCATCTGGCCAACCAACCAACCAATCCAACCCATCCACCCATCCACCCAACCCAACTCAACTCAACCCAACCCATCCATCCATCCAACCAACCAACCAACCAACCAACCCAACCCATCCAACCAACCCAACCCAACTCAACCCAACCCATCCACCCATCCAACCAACCCGTCAACTCAACCCAACCCATCCACCCATCCAACCAACCCAACTCAACTCAACTCAACCCATCCATCCATCCAACCAACCAACCAACCAACCAACCCAACCCATCCACCCATCCACCCAACCCAAGTCAACTCAACTCAACCCATCCATCCATCCGACCAACCAACCAACCAACCAACCCAACCCATCCACCCATCCAACCAACCCAACTCAACTCAACCCAACCCAACCCAACCCACTTACCTAACAGCACGACCAAATTTCATAGCTGCAAAATAAATTGATTCACCGTTTTGGGGTCCACCCATTTCAACAGTAATTTTGGAGCCACCAAAGGATGTTAGCAAGCTACTGATTTTGAACCCCATCCCTAAGGCCTGGAGAACCATGGCTAGCAAGAGAACCAATCTGATGTGTTGGAAGACTTTTCGCCTTCCCACAGCTGATTCTCGGACAGTGGAAGGTTTATACTTCAAGTCAAAAACATGGTTCTCTCAGAAGATGCTAAGTCTCAAACGAAGTTCACCTCCACTGGAAGTGCTAAAACATAAGCTGGAGGTCCATCTGTCCAAGACGTTGTTAGATGTGGATAGCCGCATTTACAAGAGCTGGACTAGATGGTCTCTGAGGAACGTTCCCACCCTCTCCGCTCCAGTTCCATCTTCTGAGTGAACCTCTCAAACAAGGTTCTCTCAGAAGATGCTAAGTCTCAAACAAGATTCTCTTAGAAGATGTTAAATCTCAAACAAGGTTCTCTTAGAAGATATTAAATCTCAAACAAAGTCCTCTTAGAAGATGCTAAGTCTCAAACAAGGTTCACTCAGAAGATGCTAAGTCTCAAATGAAGTTAACCTTCACTGGAAGCACTAAAACATAAGCTGGAGGCCCATCTGTGTGGGATGTTGTAGACGTAGATAGCTGCATCAACAAGGGCTGGACTAGATGGTCTCTGAGAAACCTTCCCATCCTTCCTTTCTCCAATTTCATGCTTGATGCCTTGAACTGTTCAGAAGGCTAGACAAAAAGATTAGGAATGAAGCAACACCGGATGTAAGGAAGTGAGATGCTCCCATCACGTGAACTCATCTTCAGGCACATTTTGTGGGGTTTTCATTCGCTCATCCGGCCTGCTTGCACAGTTTAATGTTGAATCCTTACCTTCCGTTTGTTGCACACTGTCCTCTGCTGGCTACTTCGGGTCACAGCATTGTAACTTACTCAGCGAAGACTTCAGGAGAACTCCAAAGCTAGCTTGGACTTTCAAGGACATTTTGTTTGATGGTAATAAAGGTTTTCTTCTCAGCTCTTGAGAAAAAGAGCTGTGGTGGTGCAGTGGTTAGAGTGCGGTACTGCAGGCTAATTCTGCTGACTGCCGGCTGCCTGCAATTTGGCAGTTCGAATCTGACTAGGCTCAAGGTTGACTCAGGCTTCTTTCCTTCCGAGGTGGGTAAAATGAGGACCCAAATTGTTGGGGGCAAAAGGCTGACTCTGTAAACCGCTTAGAGAGGGCTGTAAAAGCACTGTATATAAATCTAAGTGCTATTGCTATTCCTTCCTTCCTTCCTTCTTTCCTTCCTTCCTTCCATCCATCCATCCATCCATCCATCCATCCTGCACAATGGTTAGAATACAGTATTGCAAACTAACTCTGCCCACAGGCAAGAGTTCGACCCTGACTGGCTCCAACATTCGTGTGCTTGGCAACTGAATCATAGAGCCGTGGTTAGAATGCAGTATGGCAGGCTAACTCTGCCAACTGCCGGCAGTTCGATCCTGACCGGTTCAAGGTTCACTTAGCCTTCCATCCTTCCGAGGTCGGTAAAATGAGGACCCAGATAGTTGGGGGCAAGATCCAAATAAAAAAATCCAAAATAAAGCTGCCTTCTTCCTTCGGTCTTCTAGGCAGCCTTCCTGAAACGACAACCAGTAGGAAACAACGGAACAAAATAAGGCGACTTCAAAACCCCAGATCCAGTCCTGATCATTTCTGATCCTTCAGAGGAACAAGAATCAACAACCAACTCAACTTTCCCCCATATATTTGTTGCTGGAGGAAAGGACGGCGAGGAACTGAATGCCTCTTGCTATTATCTTATCTTAAAACCTCCTTGCCCTTTGAGCTGCGTATCCCTAATACGATCAGCGCTGACCGGGACATACCGTAGAAAATGCAAGAATTTTCTTGTTTGTTCCTCTGCTGGAGCTCTTTGGTGTATTTAGAATAGAGTAGAATAACAAGAGTCGGAAGGGACCTTGGAGGTCTTCTAGTCCAACCTCCTGCTTAGGCAGGAAACGCTACACCACTTCAGACAAATGCTTGTCCAATTTCTTCTTAAAAACTCCCAGTGTTGGAGCATTCACAACTTCTGGAGGCAAGTGGTTCCACTGGTTAATTGTCCTCACTGTCAGGAAGTTTCTCCTTAGTTCTAGGTTGCTTCTCTCCTTGATTAGTTTCCACCCGTTGTTTCTTGTCCTGCCTTCTGGTGCTTTGGAGAATAGCTTGACTCCCTCTTCTTTGGGGCAGCCCCTGAGATATTGGAAGGCTGCTACCAAGTCTCCCCTAGTCCTTCTTTTCATTAAACTAGACATACCCAGTTCCTGCAACCGTTCTTCAAATGTTTTATCCTCCAGTCCCTTAATCATCTTGGTTGCTCTTCTCTGCAGTCTTTCTAGAGAATTAACAGCCACTTTATGGCTGTCCATTTCTTTGGACCGGATTCCTGCAGGTTACTTTGCTGGGAAGGTGGGTGCAAATTGTAGCCCTGGCCTGTTAATTCTTGAAAGCAACCGTGTCTTTTCCCAGGATAGCGGCAGGAGGCTTTCAGAGAAAAGAGGCGGTTGTTTTAAAGAGTTGGGTGGGAATGCTGCAGGAAAACCCAAGAAGGATGTGCAAAATTCTTGCCAGCATTGGGAAGGAATTAGAAGATAGATAGATAGATAGATAGATAGATAGATAGATAGATAGATAGATAAAAAGAAAGAAAGAAAGAAAGAAAGAAAGAAAGAAAGAAAGAAAGAAAGAAAGAAAGAAAGATTTTAATCGAACAACTGCCAGACCTGAAAATTGAAGCTTTGAATTAAAAGGCTCAAGGGAGAAAGGAATTTTGAAACTTTTTGAAACTTTTGACTCCGAAAATACACACAAGCTCTTCTCCCATTGCGAAATGCCCTTTAGGTGTGATAGGACTTCCTCATTCCCTTTGCCCAATGGTGGAATTCATTTTTTTTTACTACTGGTTCTGTGGGCGTGGCGTGGCGTGGCTTAGTGGGCATAGCTTGGTAGGCGTGGCAGGGGAAGGATACTGCAAAATCCCCATTCCCTCCCCACTCCAGGGGAAAGGATACTGCAAAATCCCCATCCCCTTCCCACTCCTGGGGGGAAGGATATTGCAAAATCTCCATTCCCACCCCACTCCTGGGGGAAGGATATTGCAAAATCTCCATTCCCACCCCACTCTGGGGCCAGCCAGAGGTGGTATTTGCCGCTTCTCCAAACTACTCAAAATTTCCGCTACCGGTTCGCCAGAACCTGTCAGAACCTGCTGGATTTCACCCCTGCCTTTGTCCCTGAGCATCTTAAGATCTTGGCACCAGATTTTCTTTATACAGCTCTACCGTGACCCTTTCAAGGGTCAGGATGGGGCTAAATTTCCCAAAATTAGCGGAGCTACCAGAAAGAGCATCTCTTTTCATCGAAACAACTCTCGACTGAATCCAATTTAATCAAGATCACTATCTGCTGGATATTTTAAATTCCACTAATTGTATTGTAAATTTGTTACGGCTGCCAGAGTTACCTCCAGACCAAAACTGGGTGATAAATTTAATGGGAAAATTTCCCAATCATTTATTGTCTTTAGGAAAACGTTTTTTAACCATTCAGTGAAGCTTTGCATTTCTCTATAGGAATTCTCTTTCTGGGAAAGTTTGGAAAAATGCCACCGGTTATTGGCTCCGCCTTCAACCTGCCAATTTTGCATCTAGCTCCTCCCATATGCCGTTATTTTACATAAATTTCTATTTAGTAAATGATAGCATCCTGGTGGAAAAAAATCCATTTGCCGACTTCTGGAAATCACCAGGATAAAATCGAGTGTCTGAGTAAAACTATACTATCTCCTTGATAGAATTTATTGGTGAACATTACGGACGTCTATCAATCATCTTTCCCGCCGCCTTTGGCAGCGTCTTCAGGCACCGCCCAGAGTTTTCCTAAAGGTTCACAGGGATGATGGGTTTTGGAGTTGAAAAAAAATCTGGTGCAGAAAATATCCTAAAACTTTTATTCTGGTTTTTTTTTTTTTTTTTAACGATTAAATATAACCTCTCTTCAGTAGAGCATCTCTCTTTAAAACCACACAAAAGGGTGGGAGGGGACGGGATACATTCTTCTCAAAAATACGAAATACTGACCATGGAGCGAGGAGATTTACAGTGCAAAAACACAAGCGATTCCACACCGACAAGTGCAAAATGATTATCCTTACAATTTCTACAGCATTTACGGCCAGAGCCATCTTTTCTTCCGCCGCTCTGTGCTATAATTCTAGAGCGCCTTGTTTGCATCCGATTCTCTAGAACAACCGCGTCAAAAGATTCTGGCTTTGAGAGACAAGCCAAGAAGGGGTGCTCCCCCCCGACTATGCCTGACATCCGCCGAAGGTTTCAAATTTGCCCGTCTTCACAAGTCCAACAGGATTTTTACGAGATTACGAACGGCGGCTAATTTCTAGATCACGGAGACGCCACGTTGAGGATCCCAGCAAAGACGAAAGGCACGAGCTAAGATGTTGGTTGATTGTTGCGGTATCCGCTACCACGGGGGACACCCGGGTTGGCATGCAAACGCGGGCGTACACAGGGCTTGCTTCGAAGGGCAGGAGACAGCGATCTCAGAAATTCACCTTTCGAGGTCAAGGAGGGAGGGGAAGCGATCGTGGTGCTTCTCCTCCCCCGTTTTAGTAAGGAATATCGTTTTGGTAGTACTGGATCATATCATAGGTCTTGCTCCTAAAAAAAGACGAAGAGGGAAAGAGCGGGGGGGGAGAGAGAAATTAAGCATCTTCCAGTACCGTATTTTTCGGAGTATAAGATGCACTGGAGTATAAGACGCACCTTAGTTTTGGGGGAGAAAAATAAGAAAAAATAAAAAAGCTGATTGGCAGGTGGATCGGCCTCCCGGAATACCCCCAATCAGCTGTTCCCAATCAGCTGTTCCCCGAGGTGAATTTTAGCAGCAGAGTCGGACAGTGAGGAGGCTGGGGAGGACAATGGGCCAGTCCTAGAGTCAGGGGAAGGTCCGGACGAGGGTTCTGGTCGGAGGCAGAGATGAGGCCAGGGCCATCTGGGAGTGATGGGTGGACTCCGGAGCCTCCACAGGCGGAGAGCAACGAGGCAGAAGAACAGTGGGAGCCTGTTCCTAGTGCACGCATACGAAGAGCTGCCAGAAGGCAAGAGTAGCTAAAGCAAAAAGGACAACTCGGGAGTAAGGCCAGGAGATGATTGGCCCCTCCCAGAATGCTTAAAAGAGCAGCTACGGCTCTTGGGCTCTTTGTAGGAAAGCAACGTTGCTACATTTGTTCTTGTCAGCGTCTCTTGCTTCTTTTGCCAAGAAAAGCCTTTGGCAGGGTGCCAAAGTAGACAAAGGTTGGTGATAAGGCGGAAGGACTGTTTATGAAGAATTTGTTTTGGACTTAATTTGGACTAAGCCGAGAATGAAGTAATTCTCAGCTGTTCTAATAAAATATATTTGTTTAGGACTGATTGTGTCTGGTAATAACTACTTGGGCCTAGGTCACAACAGGTGTGGAAAACCTGGAAGCTTTCAGATTCGGGTTTTCCCAGATGTGCCAATAGGACATCTCTAATAAAATGGGACTTTGAGGAACTTCAAGCCTCGGTGTCTTCTTTCGTTGGGGGTGGGGGTGGGGGTTGTTACCTGGAATTCTGACATTAACTCGAATGTCCCTTAAAAAATTCAACCAGCTTCCTGAGCTCTGGGGTGCTTGTCCGGGGTCCTGAGCCCCGAATGTCGACCTGAAACTGGGCGGCGTGAAGACTCAGGGAAGATGGAGATGACAGGAGGTACAATTCTCCCTGTCACCTCGCTGTTGTTGCTGGGCCACAAATGGGGCAGCAGAGATGAAGTAGATTTTACCTGTTGCTGAGGAAGCAATTCTGAATGATCTTCATGATGAAGTTGGCAGCTTCTCGCTCCGTCATGTTGGGGCTGAACCTGTTCCTGTTAGAGAAAACAGAAGGAGGAGAAGGACGTCAAAAGACTGTTGTGCAGAAGTCTTGACTTCAGCACATTTTCTCACAAGCACGCGGGCAACTGCGGTTGCTGATATTTTTTTGCAAAGACCCTTAAATTGGCAGGGTGCGATCTGAGAATCTAGAGCTGCGAAGCCCTGTTCTCACTGAGTTATAATTCTTAATACAATTAAATGAGTGTTTTTCTCAACCTTACAAACTTCTAAGATGTCCGGACTTTTAACTCCCAGAGTTCCCCAAGGTCGGCATGGCATCGGGCTAGAAAACGGGAGACTATGAATTCTAGCCATGCCTTAGGCATGAAAGCAGGTTGGGTGATTTTGGGCCAATCATCAGGGGTCAGTGAGTTCTAGTCCAGCCTTAGGGATGAAAATCAACTGGGTGACTTTGGGCCGGTCACCAGGAGAGGGTGAGTTGTAGTCCTGCCTTAGGCGTGAAAGCTAGTTGGGTGACTTTGGGCCAATCACTAAGAGACGGTGAGTTCTAGTCCTGCCTTAGGCGTGAAAACTGGCTGGGTGACTTTGGGCCAATCATCAGGAGTCAGTGAGTTCTGGTCCTGCCTTAGGGATGAAGGCCAACTGGATGACTTTTGGCCAATCAACAGGAGATAGTGAGTTCTAGTTCTGCCTTAGACATGAAAGCGAGCTGGGTGACTTTGGGCCAATCACTAGGAGATGGTGAGTTCTAGTTCTGCCTTAGGCACGAAAGCAGGTTGGGTGACTTTGGGCCAATCACTAGGAGACGGTGAGTTCTAGTCCTACCTTAGACATGAAGGCCAACTGGATGACTTTTGGCCAATCAACAGGAGACGGTGAGTTCTAGTCCTACCTTAGACATGAAAGCCAGCTCGGTGACTTTGGGCCAATCACTAGGAGACGGTGAGTTCTAGTCCTGCCTTAGAGATGAAAGCCAGCTCGGTGACTTTGGGCCAATCACCAGGAGACGGTGAGTTCTAGACCTGCCTTAGGCATAAAAGCTGTCTGCTAACTTGAGGCCAGTCCCTTTCTCCTTTCCTAGGAAGGCGGCCCTGAAAATTGCCAAAAGAGGACTTCTCCAGGTCGTTCCCAGGAGTCAAGACTGATTCAAAGGTACCATGAATAAATCAAAACTGGACCATACCTTCCACGGTGCCATCAAGGGATGCACATACCCTCCTCTACAGGTTCTCATTTCTCTCTTCCAAGTTTCGGGTTAAGTTCCATCCACCCCTCCAAGCCATGGGGCTCAAAACAAGCAGCCTCCCCCCTCCTTTAAGCCAATCAAGCCCTTCCTTAGCTTAAATAAGACCCACCCGTCGTTTCTGCTCTCAGCCAATCGGCGCAGCCCACTTACTTCAAGAGTTTGATGGTCTGTCCCCGAAAACAGGGCAGTCCTGTGTCTAACATCAAAGTAACCAAAGAAACCACGGCGTCCATGTAAGGTCTGTAAGGGGAGGAAGAGAAGGGAAGGCGTGGTTGGCCTCATCCACTGGCAGGAAGAAGTTTATTTCTTTAGGATGGGACGAGGCCACGACAGAAGAGAAGTAAATGCATACACACACAACCCACATCATTTGGTACAGTAGTGGCCAAAATTGTGAAAACCTTTGTGAAAATTGTGAAAAAACCCCACGCATGCCTCCATGCTCATTTTTGGCTCCCAGGTTGGCGCAGGGGGAGGCCTTCCAGGCCCAAAACGGAGTGCCGGGGATGGGGGGGGGGGGTTGCACACAGCATCCCCGTGCCCAGTTTTGGCTTCCAGGTTGATGCAGGAGGCCTTCCACCAACCTGGCGGATGCGCGTGAACCCCCAAAATGCAATGCCAGCGCACCCCGCGCACGCGCTGTGCATCCCCCGCATGTGCGTGTGCATCCCCGTGTGTGCCCCCACCTCCGGCGCATGCGCGGCAGAGACCCGAAGATCAGCTGGCCGGCGGGAGGCGGGCTGGGGAGACGGCTGGCGTGCCTGCAGAGAAGGCTCTGTGTGCCACCTGTGGCACGCCTGCCATAGGTTCGCCATCACGGATATAGATGAAGGTAAAGATGAGGAATTAGGCATTTTTTGAATACCGTATTTTTCGGAGTATAAGACGCACTTTTTCCCTCCTAAAAGGGGGTGAAAATTTAGGTGCGTATTATACACCGAATGTAGCCCCTCCCACCCTCTGGCCCCCACCCTTTGGCCTCTGCCTCCCAGCAGTTTACCTCCTTGCAGCAAGCAGCAAGAAGAAACAGCTCCTTTCAGCTTCAGCACAGCCTGTTTAGCACAAGTTGATTGGATCGGCCTCCCGACTCTCAGCTGTTTTGCTCTGAGCTGTTTTGGGTGGGCCTCTGCTGCTTGCTGCAAGGAGGTAAATTGCTGGGAGCAGATTTTTTTTTTCCTTGTGCTAATCAAGCTATGCTGAAAACGAAAATGAAAGTAAAGCAGGTTGTTTGCTGTTTGCTGCAAGGAGGCAAAATTGCTGGGAGGCAGAGGCAGATTTCTTTTTCTTCTTTGCCTCATCCAAAAAGGTAGCTGCGTCTTATAGTCCGGTGCGTCTTATACTCCGAAAAATATGGTATGTATGTTTGAACAATACAATGAGGATTATTTAAATTTGAGAAATAAGATAGAAATTACTAATATTGTTAGTATACAGAACATAATTATCAAAAAAAAAAAAGAAAAAAAGAAAAAGAAAAAAGGAACCCAAGCAGAAGCCTCCTCACCTGACGGCCAGGTAGCCCCTGACGCACATCTCCATGAACCACCTGAAAGGCGTGGCTTCCATCTTGCCTCCCATGATCATGACCATCTCATCCGTCAGCTTGATGTCCGGTTCCCAACCCAGGTTTCCACCGGGAGAACTTTCGAACATGAATCCAAAATCTGCCAAGGAGGAGGAAGACGTTGTCCTGTGTACTCTCTAGTCCAGGGGTTTGCAACCTTAAACACTCAAAGAGCCATTTGGACCCATTTCCCACAGAAAAGAAAACACCGGGAGCCACAAAAACCTTCCCGTGCCTGACTATTTCTTGAGCGGCCACAAAACTAGCATATGTAGTTGAATTAAACGTTCTGTTTCCTTCTGAAATTTTTCTTGGATTTATCCATGGTTGGCCTACTGGGGGTTGAAAAGCTCAATAAATTGCGTGCCGGCGGGTGTCGCACATTGGCGGTTGGGACGCATATTTTGAGTGACAGGGAGCCACAGCAGAGGGGTGAAAGAGCCACATGCGGCTCCAGAGCTGCAGGTTGCTGACCCCTGCTCTTGATCTTTGAAGTCTGATAACCAAGTCTTTGAAAGACAAAGGCCCCTTCTTTTGAAGGTTTCCCCCCACCATAGAGTTTCCTCCTACTGCGGCGTCCTTTTTCCTCTGCTGACCGGAAGTCCGATTTCCCCCACCATAGAGTCTCCTCCTAGCGCGGCATCCTTTTTCCTCTACCTGTCCTCACCAAAAGCCCTATCAATTGTGGAGCCGACCGGCGACAGGGAGCCACAGCAGAGGGATGAAAGAGCCACATGCGGCTCCAAAGCTGCAGGTTGCCGATCAGAGGTGGTATTCAGCTGGTTCAGACCGGCTCACTCGAACCGGTAGCGGAAATCGCAGATGGGCTTGCTCACTTGCCATCCTATTTAGGCATGTTTTTGAGTCCGGAAACATGTGCGGAAGGCACATGCGCCAGCAAAGCGCACGTGCGGGAGGCAACTCCCGTTGCCGACCCTTGCTCCAGGTAAAAGGGTGAACCCACCCCCAAAAAATTAAAAAATCCCAAGGGGTAAACTAACCAATGTGAATGAGATGTCCATGTTTGTCCAGCATGATGTTGCCATTATGCCTGTCTTTAATCTGCAAGAGGAACAGCAGAAGACTGTACGCAGCCATACTGCGGATGAAGTTGTAGCGAGCCTGCAAGGGGGCGACAACATGGGCGATATTGAGAAAGAAGGAAGGATGTCAGCGTTTCAACGCTGGCACAGAGAGCAGAGGAGAGCGAGAGATAAACTTTGAAACTTTTGCCTGCCAGATCCCTTTGAAACCGGGTTGTCGTGGAAATGAGGGGAAGGGGCACATTCCTGGGAGATGACGAGAAAAGGAGTCTGAAGAATGACTTGGAAGATAGCCAATGAGAAGCAGAGATTTGGGGATCGGAAAGGGAGGGATTGGGGGGCCAAAAGTCAGTCTTGTCCGCGCGGAGTCATGATCCGGTGGCTGTGCTCAATTAAAGAAAGATTTCCTTAAAGATTGGCAGTTTGGAAATTCATTTAATTTTGAGATAGCATCGCAGTCTGACAGACGGACAAGACTGACCTTTTGCCCCCCAATTTGCATCGCGGGCACTCAGTAGGCCAAAGGCGAACATCTAAAACAGGAGCATTTTCATAAGGAGTGGGGGGGGGGGAAACGGGGACTGAAGACGAAGGACTAATTTTCAGGAGAGGAATAAAGGAATCGAATGGCGTCACTTGGGTTGACTTTATTCCTAACGATGGAGAAATTTTGTGCTTGGCATCACTGGACTATTTACTGTCAAGGGATGCTCAACCCGCTAATTATTGTACAGCAAATGAAGAAGAGGACGGCATTTTTTCTCTAGTTCTTCATGAGGGTCTTATCAATAAAAGCCATCCTCCAATTCTCTCCGGAGTCAAATCAAAGGATCATTAGAGAGAGTTCAGAAAGACACACACACTGAATGACAATCCCCACCCCCTCCCTTCTAGCACTGATGATGTTACCTAGTTGGGTCATGAAATGTCTGCAAGAAAACAACCAAGCTCAGAGAGCACCAAGGACCTCACCGTTCTCCTTCCCTCTTCTCCTTTTTCTCATCTCCTTCTCCTCCCCTTCTCCATGATCCCCGCTCCCTTCTAGCACTGATGATGTTACCTTGCATGAAATGCGAGGAAACAACCAAGCTCAGAGATCCCCAAGGACCTCGCAGCCCTCCTTCCCCCTTTTCCTTTTCCTCCTCTCCCCTTTTCCTTCTTTTCCCCTTATCCTCTGCCCCGCCTCCTCTCCAAATTCTCCTCCTCCTCCTCCCCTTCTCCACGATCCCCACTCCCTTGTAGCACGGGGAGTGACGTTACCTAGGAGGGTCATGAAATGTCTGCAAGTCAAGCTCGAAGAGCACCAAGAACCCCACAGTTCTCCTTCTCCCCTTCTCTCTCCTCCTTCTCCTCCTCCCCTTTTCCTGAAATCCCATTCCCTTCTAGCACTGATGACGTTACCTAGAGGGGTCATGAAATGCCTGCAAGAAAACAACAAAGGTCAGAGAGCCCCAAGGACACCCCCCCAGTTCAACCCAGAGCTACAAATATTCTCTTCTATCGATAAGAGTCACACAAAGTACCTTCTGGAAGGCCAGGGTTGATTCATCTCCGTACTGCCTAGTAAAGTAATCGTACATGCCGAAATCGGTCTGTCTGCCCAGCTGATCACGGGAAGTACAATCTGGAATGCATTCGATGACGCCACACTAGAAGAAAGAAGGGAAATGAAGGAATGGGAGAATTCGGGCTCCACAGGAGCTCCCAAGAGCAAAATTCTGCAAAACATCTGGAGGAGCCTGACTGGATACACGTAATGCCAGCTCTGCCTGGCTCTGCCCACATCTGCAACTCATCTAATCATCTGAAACTGGAAAACTGTAATAAACTTCATAAACAGAGAGAAATACAGGTAAATCCTTGACTGTTGTGGCCCGTACGCGGCCTGTGCAGCTAGTAGCTGATTCAGACAGCGAGGAGGCTGGTGTGGTGCTGCGCCAGCAGCCTGTGCAGCTGGCACTCGACTCAGACAATGAGGAGGCTGGAGAAGATGTGGTGCCAGAGGCGGGGATCCAGCCAGGGCCTTCAGAACCTCCAGAAGCTCCCATAAGTGAAGAGGAAGAAGAGGAGGAGCCTCTTCTTGATGCATGGGCATGCAGAGCTGCCAAAAGGCAGGAGTGGCTCTCAGGAGGAGGTCTCCTCGAGAGTAAGGCTTGGGGCTAATTGGCCACTCCCTTAGCCTATTTAAGGAGGAACGCCGACTGAAGCAATTTGCAGGGAACAACTTTGTTCACATACCTTCGTGTCTTGTCTTGCTTATCTTATCAGCTTCCTGCAAATTGCTTCTGGGCATTCTGCCAACCATAGTAAGCTTTCAGTTATTATTCTTTGAATTCTTGGCGGCTGTTCATGCAGTTAATTAACAGCAGTTGTTGTAAAAGACTGGTTTATTTATTCAACCAAGGTTTGAACGGACTTTGTATGTGCTGCGTTCTTTGGGGTCCGTAGCTGGGGCAGAGCAGGTAGTCCTTGACTACAGTTCGTTTAATGACCGTTGTAAAAAAAAATGGCTTAGGACTCTTGTTCGCACTTAACGACCACTGCTGCATCCCTTTTGGCTCACATGATCCAAATTCAGACGCTTGGTGACTGACTCGTATTTATGATGGTCGCAGTGTCCCCGGGGTGTGTGTGTGTCATGGGATCCCCTTTGGGGTGACCTTCCGACGAGCAAAGTCCACGGGGAAGCCAGATTCACTGAACAACCATGTTACTTATGACTGTATAACTGTAACCTTGTTGTTGGTATCCTTACGATTTATACTGAAGAGCCTTGGTAGTACAGGGGTTTAAGGCACCCTGTTATTAAGCTGGTTATTAAGACCAGCTGCCTGCAATTACTGCAGGGTTCGAATCTCGCCAAGGCTCAAGGTTGACTCAGCCTTCCATCCTTTGTAAGGTAGGTGAAATGAGGACCCAGTTTGTGGGGGCAATAAGCTGACTTTGTATAAATATACAAAAGGATGAAGGCTATTGCTTAACGCATTGTAAGCCACCCTGAGTCTTCGGAGAAGGGCGGCATATAAATCAAATTAAAAAAAAAAAAATTGTTTCCTAGTATGATTTGATTGCTTATTTGTTCCCTATGACTATCATTAAGTGTTGTACCTTATGATTCTTGACGAATGTATCTTTTCTTTTATGTACACTGAGAATGTATGCACCAAGACAAATTCCTTGTGTGTCCAATCACACTTAGCCAAGAAGGAATTCTAATCTAATCTAATCTAATCTCATCTCATCTCAAACGTTCTTCCAGATACTCACCCCAGGAGCGGTGGCCACCACTCTGTAGGGAAAGACGTAGAGGTCGAGGCCCACCAGCTGAAATATGTTTTTGAACAGATCGATGATCTGCAAGGCCAACATGTCCTGTCCAGCACCAAAAGAAACAGGATTGAAGGGTTTTTTTCCCCCAAATATTATGTGTGTAACAATGATGAATAAAGGAGACTATTTGTAGCTGTACAGGTGACTTAAGACGACAACCCTGCGGCTTTCTCACCTGCCTGCAATCATCGCCCACTTTAAAGATGGCGGCCTGCCAGCAAATCTTCTTACTCTCCCTCCCGTCTTCTCCGCTTTCATCTATGGAATCTGAACGACAACGCAGGCCTAGAAGGGACCGTTTTTGAAGAAGTTACGTTATAAACAATAATAGGTACCTTGTTTTTCCGAAAATAAGACCCTGTCTTATATTTTTTTGAACCCTGAAATAAGCGCTTGGCCTTTGTGCCTATTTGGAATCAGAACGTTGAAACTGTGAGAAATAGGGAACTGAAAGTAGCCGACGGATAAGAGGTTTGAGATGTATTCGGGTATATGTGGAGACTGTCCGTCAGTACGAAAGAACAAGGAAGTACCGTATTTTTCGGAGTATAAGACGCACCTTTCCCCCCCCAAAAAGAGGGTGAAAATCTGGGTGCGTCTTATACACCAAATGTAGCCCCACCCAGCTTCTCAAACAGAGGTTTCAGAGGCTGAAAAAAGCATCAGAAAAAAAGCTTCAGAAAAAAAGCTTCAGAAAAAAAGCCTCAGAAACAGAGCTTCAGAAAAGAAGCCTCCAAACAGAGCTTCAGAGGCTTTTTTTCTGAAGCTCTGTTTTGGAGGCTTTCAGAGGCAGGAAAAAAAGTTTTTTCTGAAACAGAGTTTCAGAAGTTTCAGAGACAGAAAAAAAAGCAAAAAAAAAAAAAAGCAAGAAGAGAAGAGAAGAAGGAGTAGAAGAAGAGGAGGAGAAGAGGAAGAAGGAGAAGGAGAAGGAAAAGAAGAAGGAGAGGAAGAGGAGAAGGAGGAGAAGGAGAAGAGGAGAAGAGGAAGAAGGAGGAGAAGGAGTGGAGGAGGAGGAGAGGAAGAAGAAGAAGGAGAAGAAGGAGAGGAGAAGAAGAGGAGGAGGAGAAGGAGAAGGAGAAGGAGGAGGAGCCATTGCACTAACCTTCTTTTTCAAGTTCACTCACTCCACACCTCTTCACCTTGAACTTGGCCAAGTAAGGGGCTTTGGCAGCACTGGAAGGAAGAAGAACGGGTCAATGCCAGTAATAGTAATAATTCCTTTTTTTTTTTTTAAACCGAAGTAAAACAGGCTGGAAAAGGGTGCCAGGCCATACCTTTGCATAGGCGTTCCCGACTTGTAGTCGATATCCAGAACAATCGCTTCTGGATTGCTTGGTAAATAGCAACCTATTTAAGGGAAGGGGAAAAGAAGACAATCCTTGGTGAAAACCAGCAAAGTGGTTGAGCTAGCAGGACTAATCAGGGAAGACAGCAGCCAGGACGTTTTTTCCCTCTTTCTTCCCCCCCCCCTCTTTCTTTCTTTCTTTCTTTCTTTCTTTCTTTCTTTCTTTCTTTCTTTCTTTCTTTCTTTCTTTCTTTCTTTCTTTCTTTCTCTTTCTTTCCTTCCTTCCTTCCTTCCTTCCTTCCTTCCTTCCTTCTTTCTTTCTTTCTTTCTCTCTCTCTCTCTCTTTCTTCTTTCTTTCTTTCTTTTTGGTTCGATTTATATGCCGCCCTTCTCCCGAGACTCGGGGCAACTTACAATGCGTTAAGTAATAGCCTTCATACTTTTGTATATACCTGCTTAGTAGGGCTTTCACCCCTCCCACCCCCTTAAGCGGTGTTCTTTTTTTATACAAAGTCAGCTTATTGCCCCCACAATCCGGGTCCTCATTTTACCTACCTCGAAAAGGATGAAAGGCTGAGTCAACCTTGAGCCTGGTGAGATTTAAACTTGCAGTAATTGCAGGCAGCTGGTGCTACTTAACAGCACTTTAGTCTGCTGCGCCACCAAGGCTGTAATACAGGCAGTCCTCGACTTACAACCGTTCATTTAGTGACTGTTCAAAGTTACGACGGCACCGAAAAAGAATGACTGGCTTATGGGCCCTTTTTCACATTTAACAACCGTTGCGGCGTCTACATGCTCACGTAGTCAACATTCGTGTGCTTGGCAACTGAATCATAGAGCCGTGGTTAGAATGCAGTATGGCAGGCTAACTCTGCCGACTGCCGGCAGTTCGATCCTGACCGGTTCACGGTTCACTTAACCTTCCATCCTTCCGAGGTTGGTAAAATGAGGACCTAGGTTGTTGGGGGCCTGAGTTTGAAAACCGCTTAGAGAGGGCTGTAAAACACTGTGAAGTGGTATATAAGTCTAAGGGCTATTGCTACTGCCCTTCCTTCCTTACTTTTTATTTCCTTTCCTTTCCTCCTTTCCTTCCTTTCCTTTCCTTCCCTTCCCTTCCCCTTTCCCTTCCCTTTCCCTTTCCTCTCTTCTCCTCTCCCCTCCCTCCCTCCCTCCACAGTAGTTAGAATGCAGTATTGCAGGCTAACTCTGCCCACAACCCGGAGTTCGATCCTGACTGGTTCAAGGTTGACTCAGCCTTCCTTTCTTCCGAGGTTGGTAAAATGAGGATTTAGGTTGTTGGGGGCCATAGGCTGACTCTAAACCGCTTAGAGAGGGCTATAAAGCACTATGAAGCAGTATGTGTCTAAGTACTATTGCTATTGTCCTTCCTTCCTTCCTTCCTTCCTTCCTTCCTTCCTTCCTTCCTTCCTTCCTTCCTTCCTTCCTTCTTTCCTTCCTCACTCCCTCTCTCCCTTCCTTCAGGTTGACTCAGCCTTCCATCCTTCCGAAGTGAGTAAAATGAGGACCCAGATTGTTGGGGGCAATAGGCTGACTCTGTAAACCGCTTACAGAGGGCTGGAAAGCACTGTGAAGCGGTATATAAGTCTAAGTGCTATTGCTATTTTTCACACTTTTCACACTGTGGCAGCAGCATCCCCGTGATCAAAATTTGGATGCTTGGCCACCGATTGATATTTATGACAGTTGCAGTGTCCCCGGGGTTGTGTGATCCCATTTTGCGACCTTCTGACAAGCAAAGTCAATGGGGAAGCCAGATTCAGTTAACTACCGGGTTACTAATTTAACAACTGTAGTGATTCACTTAACAACTTTGGCAAGAAAGGTCATAAAACGGGGCATAACTCACTTAAAAAAACTGCCTCCCTTAGCAACAGAAATTTTGGACTACCCGCAAATGTTAATTTCTTACCGGGTTGCACTTTCACTTCAGATAAAGCGTTCAAACAAGCTTTTTTTCGCTCTTCGCCTTTAGGATAAGGCCTATGGATGGGAAAAAAAACCCATATTAGGGGTATATGAATTATGAATTCTGACCCGCAAGGCAAATTGGGTTTTGTTTATAAGGTCCATTTCAATCTCATCTTCTTTTAAAGACCCCGTAATCCCTTGAGGGGTGGAGTCTTGGGCAACTGAATGGAGTTAAGTGTTTACTGGCCGGATACCCTTCCTCTCGTCAATGCGGAGTTACCGTATTTTTCGGAGTATAAGACGCACCTTTCCTCCCCCCAAAAAAAGAGGGTGAAAATCTGGGTGCATCTTATACTCTGAATGTAGCCCCGCCCAGCTTCTCAAACGGAGGTTTCAGAGGCTGAAAAAAGCATCAGAAACGAAGCTTCAGAGAAGAAGACCCCAAACAGAGCTTCAGAAAAGAAGCCCCCAAACAGAGCTTCAGAAAAAAAGCCTCCAAACAGAGCTTCAGAAAAAAAGCCTCCAAACAGAGCTTCAGAGGCTCTTTTTTCTGAAGCTCTGTTTCGGAGGCTTTCAGAGGCAGAAAAAAAGGCAAAAAAAAATCAAGGCACAGAGCTCACAACCAAGGAACCTGTTGCTAAAATTCACCTCTGGGAACAGCTGATTGGGGGTATTCCGGGAGGCTGATCTACCTGCCAATCAGCTTTTTTCTTATTTTCCTCCCCAAAAACTAAGGTGCGTCTTATACTCTGAAAAATAAGGTATATTCAGCAGATGTATTCTCAACTGCCCAGAGAGAGAAATATCTGCCTCTACCTAGGATCAAACTCACAGCCTCCTGATTGTGAGGCGAGAGCGCCACCTCTAGGCCACCGCACCACTCATAAGGTCCATTTCAAGGAAAGAATCGGGTTTTTTTTTATGTCTCTGCCTTTGTACTCACTTGATGATGGCGGAAACGTTGGTGATTTTGTTGAAGAAGTCAAACTCCCGTTGGTAAAATTCCTTTGCTGGACCAGACAACGAGCCGGTTATTTCCTCGACGAGCTGCTCCAGGAGTTCCCCAATATCAGCTACATAAAAGAAGAAGCAGAAGAAGGAGGAGAGTGAAGTTTGTGAGGTCCTTGGTGCTCTCTGAGTTTGACGGTTTTCTGGTGGCTCAACTAGGTAGGATCATCAGTGCTACAAGGGACTGGGCTTTGTGGCGTGGAAGAGGAGGAGGAGGAAGAGGAGAAGGAGGATGACGACGACTGCCGAGTCCTTGGTGCTCTCCAAGTTTGAGGGTTTTCTGGCGGACATTTCATGGCTCAGCTAGGTAGCATCATCAGTGCTAGAAGGGAGTGGGCTTTGTGGAATGGAAGAGGAGGAAAAGGAGGAGGAGGAGGAGGGAGGAGGAAGACTATGGGGTCAATGTTGTGGCCTGCCGGCAGCCAGCAAAAGAGTCAAACAGTGAGGAGGTTGGGGAGGAACTTGGGCCGGTCCTGGGGGCTGGGGAAAGCTTGGACGAGGGCTCTGCGTCGAAGGCAGAGAGGGAGATAGACAGCAGCGAGGCAGAGAAACAGCTGGAGCCTGTTCCCATTGTGCGCATGCGCAGAGCTGCCAGAAGGCAAGAACAACTCAGAAAGCAGGGTCGACTCGTGAGTAAAGCCACACCTTGGAGGTGATTGGCCCCTCCCATAGGAAACAAAAGAGGAGCGAACGGGGAGGGGGCTTTTGCAGGAAACAATTCGGTCGGTCGGTCGTTTCAAGAGTGGAAAGTTCTGTTCGTGACTCTAAGAGACTCTGTGCCAAGTTTGGCCTTGTACTGCGTTTGGAAACAAGTTACGTGGCAGCTTGCCAAACGAGATAAGGTGTGTTGAGAAATATTCCTTTGAAAAACTGTTTGGACAAGCCTTGCTGACTGTGAATGAACGTAATTCAGAGTCCTGTAAATAAAAGAGGTTTTGCCAGTAATTCCTGCCTCCTGCTTGTTAGGGGAGCCCAGTCAGTGATCTCTGAAAACTTGATTTTCTGGTGGATGTTTCACGGCTCAACTAAGTTAGCATCATCAGTGCTGCCTTTGTGGAATGGAAGAGGAGGAAGAGGAGGAGGAGGAGGAGGTAGTGCAACATCCCCAAACATGGTCCACTCACGGTCTTTCTGGTGTCCCTCTTCATCCAGGTAGATGTTGGTCTTCATATTCCAAATGAACTGGTGAGCCAGCAGCTGGGACTTGGAAGCTGCCCAGAGGATGTACTCCCTGACATAACCCATCTGAGAAAATACAACAGGGCAGGTCTTCTTCTAAGCATGGCTCCGACCGGGAATGTGTTGAGACAGAGAAGCCCAGATGTCCTAATGGACCAGTCCCCCCCCCACACACACATTAAATCCCAACCATGGGAGGTCTTCTGATGCATCATCCCTGATTGTTGGGGACTCGCATTGTATCAGTGATTTAATTGAAACTCTCTAAGTTTATCCAAGCATCGTAGAAACAATGAATACATCTATTCATTGAGGCAAATCCTTACACCATCTGCCTACTTCTCTGTCCGTCCATCCATCTGTCCATCCATCTACATTCATACCTATCTATCCATATCCGTCTGTCAACTTATGACTCTATCCATATTTACCTATCCATATCCATCCATCCATCCCTATCTATCTATCTATCTATCTATCTATCTATCTATCTATCTATCTAATCATCTCTATTTTCTTTCTTTCTCTATCTATCTACCCACCCACCCACCCACTTATCATTCACCTCTCTAATCTCTTATCATCTTTACCTAGATCTAGATATCCATCTGAATATAATTTTTCTCTCGTCTCAAGTTCTCTCATCCATCCATCCATCCATCCATCCATCCATCCATCCATCCATCCAAATGGCCTAACCTAAACATTTACTGTATGCCAAAGAACCCGAGTGCAAGGATATTGTATGGAAAAAGCCCTACAGTTCAATCCACGGCACTTTCCAGTGAAAAAGGATCAGGTGGCCAACAAGATCCTGGATAGTCCTAAACTCCTCTGACCCAGGACGTCCCTTAACAAATGTCTCGCAGTCTTTATCTGCCCTTACCTTGTCGTATCGAAGAGCCTGCACAATCTGCGGAATGTAAAATAGAATAGCATCCTGGGGATGGAGAAAAGGAGAAAAGAAGGAAAAAGAAGTTAGGATTTCTTTTTCCCCCCCAAAGTACCTAGCTTCATTCTAGCTTCAACAGCATCTCCTTCTATCATTAACAGGCAAAGAGTTCCATTTTTTATTACGTGCTGGTTGCCAAGCACCCAAATTTTCAACCAACCAACCAACCAGAATAGACCTGAAAGGGACCTTGGAGGTCTTCCAGTCCAACCCCCTGCTTACCATTTCAGACAAATGAGTTGTCCAATCTTTTCTTGAAAACCTCCAGTGATGGAGCATCCATAATTTCTGGAGGCAAACTATTCCACTGATTAATTGCTCTCCCTGTTAGGAAGTTTCTCCTTAATTCCCAGTTGTTTCTCTCCTTGGTTAGTTTCCACCCATTGCTTCTTCTCCTGCCTTCAGGTATTTTGGAGAATAACTTGACTCCCTCTTCTTTGGGGCAGCCTCCCCCCCCCCCCAAATACTGGAACACTGCTATCGTATCACCCCTAGTCCTTCTCTTCTGAACTTTTACAAAATACAGAATGACAAGAGTTGGAAGGGACCTTGGAGGTCTTCTAGTCCAACCCCCTGCTCGAACAGGAGACCCTATGCAATTTGAGACAAATCTGACCTCTTCTTAAAAACTTTCAGTGGTGGAGCACCCAGAACTTCTGGAGGCAAGTTGTTCCACTGAATAATTGTTCTAACTGTCAGGAAATTTTTTCCTTAGTTGTAGGTTGCTTCTCCCCTTGATTAATTTCCATCCGTTGCTTTTTTTCCTGCCTTCAGATGCTTTGGAAAATAGGTTGACTCCCTCTTTTTTGGGGCAGCCCCTGAGATATTGGAACATGGTTGTGTTGTTCTGTTTCGTTTCATTCCATTCCCTTCCATTCTGCAATTTCTCTTTTCTTCTCTCTTCTCCCTTCCCTTCCCTTGTACAAATTCTCTTTTCTTTTCTTTTCTCTTCTCTTCTCTTCTGTAATATCTTCTCTTCTGCTCCTCTTCTCCCTTCCCTTCTCTTCCCTATTCTAAACTGAAATTTCTAAAATGGACACCTAACATAAAAAACGTCATCAAAAAAGCACAACAAAGAATGTTCTTTCTGTGCCAACTCAGAAAGCTCAAACTGCCCAAGGAGCTGCTGATCCAGTTCTCCAGAGGAATTATTGAGTCTGTCATCTGCACCTCTATAACTGTCTGGTTTGGCTCTGCAACCCAACAAGACAGACACAGACTTCAGAGAATAATTAGAACGGCAGAAAAAAACAATGGCTACCAACCTGCCTTCCATGGAGGACCCGTATACTGCACGAATCAAACAGAGGGCTATGAAAATATTTACAGACCCCTCGCATCCTGGACGTAAACTGTTTCAACTCCTACTCTCAAAACGACGCTATAGAGCACTGCACACCAGAACAACTAGACACAAGGACAGTTTTTTCCCGAACGCCATCACTCTGCTAAACAAATAATTCCCTCAACACTGTCAAACTATTCACTAAGTCTGCATTACTATTACTATTAATCTTCTCATCGTTCCTATCACCCATCTCCTCCCACTTATGACTGTTACGACTGTAACTTTGTTGCTTGTATCCTTACGATTTATATTGATATCGTTTCCTGATTGCTTATTTGTACCCTATGACTATCATTAAGTGTTGTACCTTATGATTCTTGACGAATGTATCTTTTCCTTTATGTACACTGAGAGCGTATGCACCAAAGACAAATTCCTTATGTGTCCAATCACACTTGGCCAATAAAAAATTCTATTCTATTCTATTCTATTTTATTCTATTTACTCTACTCTATTCTACTCTACTCTACTCTAGTTCTTAATTCTATTCTATTCTATTCTTCTATTCTATTCTATTATTATTCTATTCTATTCTATTTTGGGAAAAATGCAGAGGGGGTCATTTGGGAGCCCAGGATCTAAAGTACTTCACCACAAAGACATTCTAACAACTTTTTTTGGCAAATGTCTTACTTACCGGCGGGAAAGATCGGAGCACTTTCACCCCGTACTGAGCTGTCAAAGGATGAGGAGGATACATGCTGGAGAAATAGGAGAGGCCCGTCGGTGGGTCGGTGGGGGTCCAGCACAGGATGTGGCTGAGCTCTGGAGCATCGGCATCGATGGTGTGCCAAGTAACAAGATACTGAAAAGCAAGGGGAGGGGAAAGAACCACATGTGAACCCCAATAGCAATAGCACTTAGATTAATATGTCGCTTCACAGTGCTTTGCAGCCTTCTCTAAGCGGTTTACAGAGTCAACCTCTTGCCCCCAACAATTTGCATCCTCATTTTACCCACCTCGGAAGGATGGGAGGCTGAGTCAACCTTGAGCTGGTAAGGATCGAACTGCTGATGTATGGGAAGAGTTAGTCTGCAATATTGCATTCTAATCACTGTGCCACCATGGGAATGGAATGGAATGGAATGGAATGGAATGGAATGGAATGGAATGGAATAGAATAGAATAGAATAGAATAGAATAGAATAGAATAGAATAAGGAATGGAATGGAATAGAATAGAATACAATAGAATAGAGAATAAAGAATAGAATAGAATACAGAATGGAATGGAATAGAATAGAATACAATAGAATAGAGAATAAAGAATATAATAGAATACAGAATGGAATGGAATGGAATAGAATAGAATATGGAATTGAATTGAGTAGAGTAGAGTAGAGTAGAGTAGAGTAGAGTAGAGTAGAGTAGAGTAGAATAGAATAGAATAGGAATAAGCCTCTTGCCTCCAACAATCTGGGTCCTCATTTGAGATTTTGCAGTATCCTTCCCCCAGGAGTGGGGAGGAAATGGAGATTTTGAAATATCCTTCCCCTAGGAGTGGGGAGGGAATGGGGATTTTACAGTATCTTCCCCTGCCACCCCCACCAAGCCACGCCCACAGAACCAGTAGTAATAAAAAATTGGATTTCACCATTGCTCCATCCCCTCAAGGGATTATGGGGTCATTAAAAGATGACAATGATGATGGATGGGTAGCTCCACCCACTGTGGTTAACCAAAGCCAAATCAACCTGACCCTTTTATCACTGGAAACAAGACCTGAATCAATGTTGTGGCCAGAGTTTTGATCAAAAGCTGGATTGTCTTCAAAGGTCTACCTTGATGGCTTCCGGCACGTCACTCACAGCTCCAGGGTCCAAGCGAACCAGACGGGTGACCTCCATCCCAATTGCTTCTGTGTTTTTAAATCTAAGGAACCATCAGGAGACAAACAGGGTAGTCCTCTACTTACGACCAGTTGAGGTAGTCCTCAACTTAGAACAGTTCCCTTCGTGACGATTCCAAGTTACAACGGGCACTGAAAAGAGTGACTTATGGTCCTTTTTCTCACTTCTGAATATCGCAGCTTCCCAGGGGTGAAATGCTCCCGGTTCGGACCAGATCGCCCGATCCGGTAGCGATGGCGGCGGGTGGTTCGGAGAACCGGTAGCAAAAATCCCTGCATCCCCCCCCCCCACCCAGCCCCGCTGAGCCCCACCAACATCAGAAGCTTTTTTTTTTTTTACTTTTAAAAGCATTTTTTCTACAACCTCTTCCGACGAAAAAATGCTTTTAAAAGTAAAAAAAAAAAAAAAAAGCCTCTGACGATCGCGCGGCTCAGCTGGGATGGTCAGAGGCTTTTCAAAGCATTTTTTTCTGCAACCTCTTGGCTGAAGAGGTGGTTCAAAAGACTTTGAAAAGTCTCTGACGATCCCAGCTGAGTTGCCTGATCGCCAGTGGCTTTTCAAAGCATTAGAAAAAATGCTTTGAAAAGTTAAAAAAAAAAAAAAAAAAAAAAAGTTGGCCATGCCCACCCAGTCACATTACCCACCCACCCACCAAGCCACGCCCACAGAACCGGTAGTAACCAATTTTACATTTCATCCCTGCAGCTTCCCCATGATCATGTGATCAAGATTTGGCTGCTTGGCAAATGACTCGGATTTATGACGGATGCAAGTGATCGGGGGGGGGGGGGTATCATGTGATCCTCTGACCAGCAAAGTCAGTGGGGAAGCCAGATTCACTTAACAACGGAATTGGAAACGGACTGACACTCCTCCAGATCACATGATAATAAGGAAAATCTATAAATGTGCAGAAATGGATAGACTGTCTATGGAAATGAAGGAGAGGGAAGAAACCGAGTACTATCAAATTTGGAATAGATGGTATTCCTGGTTTGAGAGTAAACGTAAAACTTAAGGTATAAGTTGTAAAAAGCATAATGTAAAATTTATAAGAAATATATTATTATAATTTAAATAAGGATATAAGATAGGATAGTGATAGATATAAATAGAATTTTTGTCAATATGATTGTTAGGAAAGATATTGATACCGATATGGAAAAGCTGTTATAAGTGTAAATATGTGTTTTGTGTTTTAAATGTTGGAAAATTCAGTAAATACTATTTAAAAACAACAACAACAACAACGGTGTTCCTAACATAACAAGTGCAGGGATTTCCTTAGCAAATTGTTCGTAAAATGGGGCAAAACTCACTTAATAACAGTCTAGCTTAGCAAATGGGTGTTTTGGGCTCAATTGTGGTCGTTGGTCGAGGGCTACCTGAATCCAAAGTTTTGTAACCAAGAGCAAGGGACTCACCTGGTGGGAAGCTGCACCGCAAGGTGAGGGGAGATGCTCCAGGCCAGATTCACGTTATCCTTCCACTGCTTCTCACTCAGGCTGATGTATTTGGACCGCCAGTTGGCAACGCTGTTCTCGCCCGTTTGGTCCAGCTCCAGTTCCGGAGACGAAAGAGGATTATACCAAGTGATGAGGCGCTCAATCTCCGTAGCCTTTGAAAGAAAGGAAGAAAGTGCCGGGCATTTTAACTAATTGTACTGAAATTATTTTGATAAAACAAACAAACAAAACATTGGCCAGGATAGATGGAAAGAAAGAAAGAAAGAAAGAAAGAAAGAAAGAAAGAAAGAAAGAAAGAAGAGGGAGGGAAGGAAGGAAGAAGGAAGGAAGGGAAAGAGAAAGAAAGAAAAAGGGAGGGAGGGAAGGAAGAAGGAAGGAAGGGAAAGAGAAAGAAAGAAAGAGGGAGGGAGGGAAGGAAGAAAGGAAGAAAAAGAGAGAAAGAAAGAAAGAGGGAGGAAAAGAAGGAAGAAAGGAAGAAAAAGAGAGAAAGAAAGAGGGAGGGAGGGAAAGAAGGAAGAAGGAAGGGAAAGAGAGAAATAAATAACTAAATAAATAAAGAAGGAAGGAAGGAAAGAAGAAGGAAGAAAGGGAAAAAGAAAGAAAGAAAGAAAGAAAGAAAGAAAGAAAGAAAGAGAGAGAGGGAGGGAGGGAGGGAGGGAAGGAAGGAAGAAGTAGGAAGGTAGAAAGAAAAAAGAAAGAAAGAAAGAAGGAAAGGAAAGGAAAGGAAAGGGAAGGGAAGGGAAGGGAAGGGAAGGAAGGAAGGAAGGGGATTTGGGGCAGAAGGCATGTTTTGACTTATCAGAGCAAGGGTCTCTCAATTTCTGGCGATGTGAGAGATGCGCCCAAATAATTTTCATGGTTTCAGAAGGGGGAAAAAAAAAATGTGTAAGAGTGAAATAGGATGGGTTTGCAACTCTTGAAATGACCGACAGTCTCCCTTTTCTCTCAATTACAGGTAGTCCTCAAGTTACGACCACAATCGAGCCCAACATTTATGTTGCTAAGCGAAACATTTGTTAAGTGAGCTTTGCCCCATGTTAGCGACTTTTCTTTTTTAGTGCCGTTGTGACTTTGAACAGTCACTAACTGAACTGTCGTAAATCGAGGCCTGCTTGTAGGCTTCGCTAATTACAAGGAACTGGGTCTGTGCTCAGTTTAGGACAGTGGTCAGCAACCCTTGGCTCTGGAGCCGCATGTGGCTCTTTTCATCCCTCTGCTGCAGCTCCCTGTCGCCAGTCGGCTCCACAATTGATAGGGCTTTTGGTTAGGACAGGTAGAGGAAAAAGGATGCTGCACTAGGAGGAGTCTCTATGGTGGGGAACCAGACTTTCGGTCAACAGAGGAAAAAAGGACGCCACCCTAGCAGGAGACTCTATGGTGGGGGGAGGGGGGGGGGGCCAGACTTCCGGTTGGCAGGGGGAAAAGGGCCACGCTAGGAGGAGACTCTATGGTGGGGGGAACCAGACTTCCAGTTGGCTCCAGAATTGAACGGGGGGCTTCCGGTTAGGACCTTTGAGTGGCTCTTTGAGTGTTTAAGGTTGCCGACCCCTGATTTAGGAGAAGGGACTTACCAGAAGTGAGAGGAGCAAAGTTCTCCTTTTCATGTAGTATTTGTGGAGCTGAGTGCCTCGATTCGTCTTCTTAGACATTCCTTCGAAAGACATCACACAACGTGAGTTTAATTATTTGTTAAATGTACAGATTGCCCTACGGCCGCAACTGAGCCCCAGATTTCTGTTGTTCAGTGAAATTTTTTGCCCCATTTTACGACTTTTGTTAATACGTTAGTTGATACGTTAGTAAACCCGGTTGTTAAGTGAATCCGGCTTCCCAAAAGGCTTCTCAAACAGTCTATCAGGGGAGTGTTTACCAACACCCACCTTATCTCCCTTGGAATGCTGCCAGAGAACTAATTGCCACACGCAGGGCAAGGCCAAACTTAGCACAGAGTCAAACAGAGCTTTTCCACAGCTTTAACCAACCAAATGAGCTTTTCCCGACCAGATGAACTAATTGCTTCCTGCAAAAGCTCACGTCCCATTCGCTTCTCTTTTATGTTTTATGAGAGGGGCCAATCATCTCCAAGCCTTACTCACAAGTCGACCCTGTTTTGTTAATTGTTCCTGTCTTCTGGCAGCACTGCGCATCCTCCCACTAGGAACATGCTCCCACTGTTCCTCTGCCTCGCTGATGTCAGACTCCGGAGGCAGCAAAGAACTACCAAACAACCTTGGCCCCCTCTCTGCCTCCGACGCAGAGCCCTTGTCTGAGCCTTCCCCAGACTCCAGGACTGGTCCACGTTCCTCCCCAACCTCCTCACTGTCCGAATCTGCTGGCGGGCCGCAACACTGGCGGACCTCAACTCCCAGAATTCCCCAGCTGGGGAATTCTGGGAGTTGAAGTCCGTCAGGCTTAAAGTTGCCAAGGTTGGAGATCCCTGAGTTAGAAGGTCTGTTTTCTGTTCTGCTGTAAAGACTCATTGCTCAAACTTGGGCCAGGCATTCACAGACAACAAATCTACCTGCCTCGGTGGTTGTGAGGCTTAAACAGGAGTTCAGTGGTACTTAAGATAAAGCAAGAAATGTTAAATTTACGCAAGCACAAAATTTGAGAGAGAATTTTTATAAAATGTTTTATAGATGGCACTTAGATCCTAAGAAATTATCATGTATGTACTCGAACTTGCAAGCTAAATGTTGGAGATGTGAATGTAATGATGCAACCTATTATCATATATGGTGGACCTGTAAGAAAATCAAGGCATTTTGGATAAAAATTTGGTGGGTGATGCAGAACATTTTGAAAAGAAGGTTGAAATTTACTCCTCAATTGTTTCTATTGGGTATAATACAGGACTGTACAGTTTCAGAGACTAAATTGATTTTGAACTTAATATCAGCAGCTAGGCTGCTGGTAGCTCAATATTGGAAGAAGGACTCTTTGCCTACTATTGAAGAGTGGATATTGAAAGTAACAAACCTAGCAGAAATGGCGAAAATCTCGGCGTACTTGAAGGACCACACGCAAGAAAGATACGTATCGGAATGGAGAAGATGGATTGATTATATTCAAAATAAGTATCAGACAAGAAAATATCAAATAGCTTATGAATGAATGTCAGTATTAGAAGTATTTGGTTATCTGTAGTGGAGTTAAGGTTTCAGTGGGGGAGGCAGTACTTTGAGGATAAGTAGATTAATCTAGTTTATGTTTGATTAAATGAAATATCTTATATTTTGCTCTGGGAAGGGTGGGATGAAGGGGGGGAAGGGGCGGGGGAATCAGGGGGGGAAATTTTTTTTGGTATTTCTTTCTTGTAAAATATTCAGGAGTTTAGAGGAACTTAAGATAAAGCAAGACACACCTGATTTTTTGGAGATGGTCGACATGCCGCTGGATAAAGGGTAGGTGTTGATCCATCCCTGGGTAGCTTGCTGTCGGGACCCCACGGTGATGTCGAGATTGCTCCGGGTATCTTGGTTATCTAAAGGTTTTTTTTAAAAAAAGCATCCCTTTGGTACCAAGCCAGACAATCGATAGCCACAGAAATAGCACTTAGGACTTATATACCGCTTCACAATGCTTTTACAGCCCTCTCTAAGCGGTTTAAGAGTCAGCACATTGTCCCCAACAATCTGGGTCCTCGTTTTAACAGCCTTGGAAGGATGGAAGGCGGAGTCCACCTTAAGCACCTATGACTGTCATTAAGTGTTGTACCTTATGATTCTTGACGAATGTATCTTTTCTTTTATGTACACCGAGAGTGTATGCACCAAGACAAATTCCTGGTGTGTCCAATCACACTTGGCCAATAAAGAATTCTATTCTATTCTATTCTATTCTATTCTATTCTATTCTATTCTATTCTATAGATCATGTCTGATTTACTTTGGCTGTCTCATGCATGCAAATTCACTGAAGAAGTCAACAATGCTAGGAATAGTTAGTGGAGCAAGAAAAAGGGGCAAGCAAAGAACTCGCTGGCTTGATAGCATTAAAAATTGATACAAAGATCTGATAAATCTAACAACTGAAAGAAGTTGAGCTTGACAGGGTAGCATGGAGAGCACTTGCCTATAAAGCCGGCAAGAGTTGGACACGACTGAATGGTTAAAACGACAAGATACAAATAAATTCTGGAGGGATTGGGCTTAGACCCTTTGTGGGAACGTAACGATTCTAGGCTAATGACTTGCTTAACTCCACTCCTCTATCTCTGCCTGCTCTTCTCCTACCATAACCTATGAAACACGTACCTGGAGGCACAAGCTGGCTGGCGGTTAAGTATTTCTTGTCGGAGAACATTGCCGTCCAAAACTTGATGAGGACGATGATGTCCTCGCGCAGCCTCTTGTCTCCTTGAGTTGGACACTTGGGGGCGGCACTTCAACGGAGGGCAAACAACGTTAGGATAGGAGAGGCATTTTGGCAAGAAAACGCACACCTCGCAGGTCATTTGTGTCTTGGGGTGTTCTGGGAACCAGCTTTGGGGGCTCCCCTACTCCTTCCTCATCTGATCTCTGATGTAATCAGAAGATTTTATGTTTCTGCAGTCAAGGGTCCTATTACTATTTGGGATGGCCTTTTATTGCTTCACGATTGTTTGTAGGTTCCCTGCATTTTTGTTAGGTTGTAAACCATCAATCAATCAATCAATCAGAATAGAGCTGGACTTCCCTTTCAACTTTCAGTTCACTTTTTCCCACCATGGAGGAGGAGGAGGGAGGAGGGGGAGAAGAAAGGGAAGAGGAGGAGGAGAAAGGGAAGGGGAAGAGGAGGAAAATGAAGGAGAAGCGGAAGGAGGAGGAGGAGGCGGAGAAGGGGAAGAGGAAGGAGGAGGAGGAGGAGGGGAAGAGGAAGAGGAGAAGGAGAAGGAGAAGGAAGGAGAAGTGGAAGGAGAAGGAGAAGGAGGAGGACGAGGAGAAGGGGAAGAGGATGAGAAGTAGAAGGAGAAGGAGGAGAAAGAGAAGGGCAAATACCTGAAGTAATCAAAAGCTGTGGAATAGATCTTCTCTCTCAAGACATTGCGAATCGTTGCGTTTGGGATGACATCGGCATGCAGCAGAGACAGTCCCAGCGTTAAGAGCCTAAAGGAGTCCAAAATAATTCCATTAGGATCGTTAGGCAGGATGCTCAAAAGGGTTAAATAGGAAGAGATCTGTGCAATATAATAGCAATAGCCCTTAGACGTATATACCGCTTCACAGTGCTTTCCAGCCCTCTCTAAGTGGGATACAAAGTCAGCCTATTGCCCCCAACAATCTGGGTCCTCATTTTACCCACCTCGGAAGGAGGGAAGGCTGAGTCAACCTTGAGCCTGGTGAGAATCAAACTGCCAATTGCAGGCAGCTGGCAGTCGGCAGGGAGTAGCCTGCAGTACTGCACTCTAACCACTGTGCCACCGTGGCTCTTATAAATATAAAGCAAAATGGCAGAATGATAAAAGCAATGTTGCATCCCCCTCTCCCTTTATTTCGATGAGCAAAAGAACAAGGGGAGAATATCAAGAGCCTCCTTTTCATCCCCTTGGAAAAACAGGGAATTAAAAACATGGTATTAATAAATATAGATGTTATATTTTCTTTTTTTTAAAAAAATGGAAGAGGGGACAGCTGCGAGAACCCAAGAAAATCAGTTCTGGGCAAATCTGACAGGCAAACTCAAACAAATTCTCTCTTTGATATTCTTCGTGCAGGCGCCCGCCTCTGAAAGAAATAAAATAAACGAAGAAATATCCAGGGGAGGGTCTCACTTACTTAAAACGGGGTCCGAGGGCTGCCACGTGGCGATTCATGCTCCCCTTCGATCCGCCGATATTCAAAGACAGGGACCTCTGGAGTAAGCTGCCGAAGATCTCCACTTGATCCGAGCTGCAGTACTTGGCGATTTCAAATCTCTGCACCAAAAACTGTAGATGTGGAACCAAAAGTTAAGACGGCTGTCTGTCCAACAAGCCAACGTTTGATTTTCCTGCAGGATGGTGAGGGCCAACTCAAAAGGGAATGAGGGTTGTCGATGGGAGGTAAGATTCCTCCATAGCTATGAATCCAGTTTGGTCTAGCGGTTAAGGCACTAGACTAGAAAGCAGGAGACTGTGAGTTCTAGTCCTACCTTAGGCATGAAAGCTGGCTGGGTGACTTTGGGCAAATCACCAGGAGAGTTCCCATTTTAGGCATGAAAGCCAGCTGGCCAATCACTAGGAGGCTGTGAGTTCTAGTCCCACCTTAAGCTTGAAAGCCGGCTGGCTGACTTTGGGCCAATCACCAGGAGAGGGTGAGTTCTAGTCCCAATCTTAGGCATGAAACCCAGTTGGCTGACTTTGGGCCAATCACGAGGAGACAGTGAGTTCTAGTCCCAATCTTAAGCATGAAACCCAGTTGGCTGATTTTGAGCCAATCACCAGGAGACAGTGAGTTCTAGTCCCAATCTTAGGCATGAAACCCAGCTGGCTGACTTTGGGCCAATCACTAGGAGAGGGTGAGTTCTAGTCCCAATCTTAGGCATGAAACCCAGCTGGACGATTTTCGGCCAATCACCAGGAGACAATTCGTTCTAGTCCCGCCTCAGGCATCAAAGTCACTGGGTGACCTTGAGCCAATCACCAGGAGAGGGTGAGTTTTATTTCCACCTTAATCATGAAAGCCAATTGGATAATTTTGGGCCAATCACTCTGTTTCACCCTAGGATTGTTTTGGGGGGGAAAAGGAGAATGGTGTATTGAATATCCTCACCGCCTTGAGTGATTTGTAAAAATAAGATGGGCAGGAAACAAATAAATGAATGAATAAGTAAATATTATCCCCTTTTGGTTTATGATGGCCATAAGAGTCTCTCCTAGCTAGGTCTTCTTAGCTACCTCTGCTGTAAAAAAAAAAAAAAAAAGAGCAAAACAAAAGCTGGCTTCTTAAGGGGGTGGGGGAGGATACTTGCTTCTATCCAGATGTAATGTGGGGTGACCTCCGGTGGACACGGTTTCGGTTGGCTCTCTTCGGAGGCGGCTAAAGGATCGGCTTCTTTCTGCTCGGTGGAGAAGACGCCAAATTTCTGCTCCACCGTCATTTGCCAAGCCCCAGCCATCTCTCTCATGAACTAAAGAGAAGCAAAAGAATTACTATTTTTTGGGTGCAGCAGATTTTTAAAGTTTATTATAAATACAATTAAAGAGCCAGTTTGGTCCAGTGGGTTAAAGTACCGGACTAGAAACCAGGAGGTGCTGAGTTCTAGTCCTGCCTTAGGCATGAAAGCTGGCTGGGTGACTTTGAGAAAATCACTAGGAGACTGTGAGTTCTAATCCTGCCTTAGGCATGAAAGCCAACTGGGTGACTTTGAGCCAATCACCAGGAAGCTGTGAGTTCTGGTCCTGCATTAGGTATGAAAGCTGGCTGGGTGACTTTGAGACAATCACTTGGAGATTGTGAGTTCTAGTTCTGCTTTAGGCATGAAAGCTGCTTGGTGACTTTGAGCCAATCACTAGGAGATTGTGAGTTCTGGTTCCGCCTTAGTTATAAAAACCAGCTATGTGACTTTGGGCTAATCTCTAGGAGACTGTGAGTTGTAGTCCCACTTTAGGCATGAAAGCCAACTGGGTAACTTTGAGCCAATCACCAGGAGACTGTGAGTTCTAGCTCCGCCTTAGGCATAAAAATCAGCCGGTTGACTTTGAGCTAATCTCTAGGAGACTGTGAGTTCTAGTCCCGCCTTAGGCATGAAACCCAACTGGGTGATTTTGGGGCCAATCACCAGGAGACAGTGAGTTCTAGTTTCTCCTTAGGCATAAAACATATAGGTTGGGCCAGTCTCCCTCTCTTAGCCAAACCCCACCTCACAGCATTTCTATTGTGGGGGAAATAGGAGGAAGATGAAGTACTAGATATTTTTGCTACCTTGAGTCATTTGTAAAAGTAATAAAGGTAGGATACAAATAAATACACCTAAATATGTATAAATATAAACATAAATGTCGGGTAGAGAGAGAATCAGAGTGAATATCATTCCATGATATAAATGCAGCAAACCATGCCACACTAAATTTGGGGACGTTTGCCCAAATATATTGCTTGTTCCAGAAACATCATTTCAGAGAAAACTGATCCTATAAATTAACTCATAACTTACCGGGACTTCTATGCCGTTCTTAGCGGCCAGCAGCCACTCCCAGCAAGCAAGGGCAGTCTGCATGACCAGTTCGTTGAACATACGCAGAGGGCCCCAACAGAGGTGATGTAAGAGCTGGGAATCGGTTTCTGAAAAATTTACGAAGATGTTTTGTTTTTTAAAAAAAAAGATGTAGTATTTTCAATGGATCTATAAATAAACTCTCAGCAGCTCCTTGGGGGCAAAAAAAAAAAAGTCCACGTTATTTAGCCATGAAAGCCAGCTGAGTGATTTTAGCTCATCACTAGGAGACGGTGAGTTCTAATCTTGCTTAGTCATGAAACCCAGCTGAGTGTCTTTGGGCCATTCACCAGGAGAGGGTGAGTTCTAGTCCTGCATTAAGCCATGAAAGCTAGCTGGATGACTTTGGGCCAATCACCAGGAGAGGGCGAGTTCTAGTCCTGCATTAAGCCATGAAAGGGGGGCAAAACTCACTTAACAGCCATCTCACATAGCAAAAGAAATGTTGGACTCCGTTGCAGTCCGTAAGTCAAGGACCGCCTGTATAAAACCCGTGAAGATTTTCGTTATTACCTCTGCTGCTTATCAACAAGGCGGTCATCTTAAACATCGCCTGGGTATAGCTCTCTGCTTGGCCAGCTTCCAGGGCATTGCTGAGTTGCTTGACCATGAGTTTATTCAGGTCCGATGACCGTCCTGTGGCGTTGCAGTATTGAATCATCCCGGCAACCTGTTTAGAAAAGTCAGGGAAGTCATTTATTTATTTACTAGCTGGATACCCGTGCTTCGCTACGAAACTATGTGCTCGGGCTTCATAAATTGACACTTGCAGCCTGAAACATAATGTAGAATGTGTAACTCCGTAGCATCGGAGTGCGTTAATATAAGGCAACTGGCAGTTGGAACAGAGGGGGAGGGGGAGTAGAATGTCCCAGCCCGCAGTATCCATCGGTACTCATCTGGCTAGCATCCTGTCAGTGTGTGAGAGAGTTGGGGGGGTGGAGTGTCCGGAAACTCAAACAGTATTTGCTGTGTGAGCAAGAAAGAGACAGGAAGGAGGCTGGGCGTGGCTTAGCTCAACTGTTCTGTTTTACAGAACTCAACTGTTTTACAGCTTGCTGCTGTAAAAGTACAATTGAAAGTGAAACTCCTCTCCTCTGCTTGAGTTTTGCATTTGGAACAGATTTCTTTTCAGGTGGGGAAGGGGAGTAGAACTCTTTAGCATCAGAGCGTGTTAATAATAATATAGGAAATACCAATGCTCTGATGGTCATTTCGAAAAATCCTTTCTTAGTGAGCACCTAGAAGCCAAGAGGAACATACGTGGCAAATTTCAAGTTTGTAGGCTTTACGGTTCTGGAGATTTTGTGATTAATGCATGAGTGGTTTTCACTTTTATATATATAGATTTATTTAAATTCATCCTTTATTATCCAAGTCATAATTGGCCAGATGTTTTAGACTGGAGTTGGAATATTTTAATCCCCTGTTGAGTCCTTTCCACAGGTGGATGTAGACGTCAGATGGGGTGAGAGGTTATCAGCGCAGGATGTAAGCTGTTATAAATTAAGCTGCTGTTTGCAATTGGCTGATGGGGATTTGGTCAATGCCGACGGTGTTCAAGGGGCGCTGCAGTTGTTTTGAGATTGCACCAAATTAAATTAATATATTAATACTGTGTTTCCACAAAAAAAAAAAAAAAGCCCCAACCGGAAAATAAGCCCTAGCATGATTTTTCAGGATGCTCGTAATATAAACCCTACTCCAAAATAAGCCCCAGTTAACTTCATCAGACAGACAAATGCATTTAGTGCCGTATTTTCCCAAAGATAAGATCTAACCGGAAAATAAGCCCTAATCGCGTGCCAGGAGCGGGGGTAGCGCGGAGGAGGGGAGGTCATGCGCGTGTATGCCCACACCCATAATTCTATGTGCCCCGCCCCTGTGCGCACAACACTCCCCCTCCCCCAGCTCCTGGCACACGATGGCCCGGTAGATCTGGTTTTCTCTCTCCCCAGGCTCCAGAGCCTTTCTAGGAGTCTGGGGAGGGTAAAAATGGCTTTCCCCACTCCCCCCCCGGAGTCTGGAAACGGCCCATTTGCCAACTTCCGGTGGGACTGGAAGGCCTGTTTTTCTCTCTCCCCAGGCTCCAGAGCCTTTCTAGCAATCTGGGGAGGGCAAAAACGGTCTTCCCCACCCCTCTGGAGGCCGAAAACGGCCAGTTTGCCAACTTCTGGAAGCACTTTAGATTGAAGTGCTAATATACGTTCTAAGTCCATGTATGTTATTCCATACACTAAATAAACAAATAAATATCTCAGAACTATGTAAGGTAAAGGTAAAGGTTCCCCTCGCACATATGTGCTAGTCGTTCCCAACTCTAGGGGGCGGTGCTCATCTCCGTTTCAAAGCCAAAGAGCCAACGCTGTCCAAAGACGTCTCCATGGTCATGTGGCTGGCATGATTCAATGCCAAAGGCGCACGGAACGCTGTTCGCTTCCCACCAAAGGTGGTCTTTATTTTTCTACTTGCATTTTTTACATGCTTTCGAATTGCTAGGTTGGCAGAAGCTGGGAAAACTAATGGGAGCTCACCCCGTTACGCGGCACTAGGGATTCGAACCGCTGAACTGCCGACCTTTCGATCGACATGCTCAGCATCTTAGCCACTGAGCCACCGCGTCCCTTCCAGAACTATGTACCAGTATCCAAAACCCAAAAAGTGGAAATCCTTGCACATACTTTCTTCCAACAGAAGGTGGCTTGCTTGGAGATTTGTGCACCCATCGCTAATCCCCTTTAAAACACGCACCCCGCACCCCACGTGCATGCAAATTGAGAAGGGTGAATTTCTTTTTTTAAAAGTAAGGGGGAAGGGGAGAAACTTGAGGTCTCTTCTACTCACTTCTCCAGCGTAGCGATTGCGCAGGTTCAGGGAAGCCATGAAGTTGGAGTAATCTTTCTTCACGCAGGTGGGCCTTTCGGTTAATTGAGTGGCCTAGAAGCAACGCACAACGTCGTATTTTCAGTTTTGAGAGTAGAGGGAGAACATGGATGCTCCGGGAGAGGGGGGGGGGAAGAGCCAGAAACGGATGGGACTTTGTGATTAAATTAAATCCTGGTCCCTTATCCTCTCCACTATCACCAGGGGTGGGCTGCTGGGGGTTCAGGAGAACCTCTAGCTAAGATTCTGTGCAGTTCGGAGAACCCCCAAATCCCACTCCTGCCCGGCCCTACCCACCCCGCCCTTCCCCTCCCAGGAGTCCCCACATGGCCCGGTTTGGAAGCAGGTAAATGCAGGGTGTATGCAGAGGCTTGGGGAGGGCAAAAAATGGGCCTAATGGAAGTTTGGCCCCCAGAGGGCCTCCGGAGCCTGGGGAGGCCATTTTCACCCTCCCGGAGGCTCAAAGAAAGCCTCTGGAGCCTGGAAAGGGTGAAAACGCCCCCCCCCCCGCCATAGTGCAGGAGGCCAACTAGGCCACGCCCACCATGGCTATGCCCAGGCAGAGAACCCCTTGCTAAAAGTTTTGAAGCCCACCCGTGACTATCATCACCCCGCCCTTTTGATGAAAGAGAGTGGCTAAGAAAAGGATTGAACATCTGGAAGTTCAGATTTTGTCTATTGGGTATCATTCTGTAGATTGCTCTCCGAGCTTGGTGAGTTTCTTGCAGACGTTTCATGACTGAACTAGGTCACATCATCAGGGCTACTGGGTATGGCTTTCTCCCACCAAGGAGAAACTTAGGGGTTTTTTCCTACCAAAACTCACGGTTTCCTCCTACCAAGGAGAGAAGCACAAACCTACCAACACTGGCAGGGTAAGCCACTATCTAAAAAACAGCAAGCAAACGCCACATACTCCTGCACTGATAATGTTAGCTAGTTAGGTTATGATACGTCTGCAAGAAAACAACCAAGATCAGAGAGCACCAAGGACCCCACAGTCCGAGCAGCCACAGTTTGACAGCGATGGAGATAAGTCTTGGCTGGATCCCCGACAGCGTCGGAAAGACAAGCGCGCGCAGCAGAGAAGGAGGCGTGCCAGAGATTAAACTGAGTCACTGGACCACACCCCACAGGGGATAAAAGGGGGTGTGGTGGCCATTCAGGCTTTGTGACGGACAAAACTGAAAGCTAGCAAGTCATTCTGCATTTCTGGAACTTTGTTATATGCTCTGCTTGGATTGATTTTTGGACTGGACTTGACTATTCTTTGGCTTTTGTGGACTTACTTTGATGTTTCGGTCGGAGGAGATAAACCTCCCTTTGTAAGTAAAAAGTTTTGGCAAGCAGCCACTGGGTTGCTGCCAATTCTGTTATCAAAGGAAATTCTTGTCTGCTGGTTTATTTTAACTCTTGGTCGACTGCTGGTGTGCATGTGTGAGACGGGGACAGAACACAAGGAGAGAAGCACAAACCTACCAACACTGGCAGGGTAAGCCACTATAAAAAAACAGCAAGCAAACGCCACATACTCCTGCACTGATAATGTTAGCTAGTTAGGTTATGATACGTCTGCAAGAAAACAACCAGATCAGAGAGCACCAAGGACCCCACAGTCCTCTTCTCTTTCTCCCTTCCTTCTTCTTCCTCTTCTTCCCCCACTCCCTTCTAGCACTGATGATGTTACTTAATTTGGTAATGAAATGACTGCAAGAAAACCACCAAGTTCAGAGAGCACCAAGGACCCCACAGTCCTCTTCTCTTTCTCCCTTCCTTCTTCTTCCTCTTCTTCCCCCACTCCCTTCTAGCACTGATGGATGTTACTTAATTTGGTAATGAAATGACTGCAAGAAAACCACCAAGCTCAGAGAGCACCAAGGACTCTACAGTGTCTCCTCCTCCCTCCCTCCTAATACTGATGATGTTCCCCAATTGGGTCATGAAATGTCTGTTAAGAAAACAGCCAAGCTGTGTACCTACAAACAGGGGGCTTTCATTTTGGGGGACTGTGCACAAGCTGTTTCCGCAGAAGTGGGAGTTGAAAAAGAGGACGATGGCCACAGTGAAGAGAACTTACCCCTAGGGTTGTGTTTTGCTTGTTGTAGCCCGCAAAGTGGAGAATGCTCTCGGTTGCCATGGCCAACCCTGTGTGCTGGGACAGGCCAGACACCCAGTTCTGGTGCTTGTTCAAATATTCCTGAAAAAAAGGAAGTCAAAGAGTCGCAGTTATATTTAGAGTACTGCATCCAATTTTGATCACCACACTACAAAAAAGACGTTGAGACTCTAGAAAGAGTGCAGAGAAGAGCAACAAAGATGATTAGGGGACTGGAGGCTAAAACATATGAAGAACGGTTGCAGGAACTGGGCCTGGCTAGTCTAGTGAAGAGAAGGACCAGGGGAGACAGGAGAGCAGTCTTCCAATATTGGAGGGGCTGCCACAGAGAGGAGGAGGGGGTCAAGCTATTTCCCAAAGCACCCGAAGGCCAGACAAGGAATAATGGATGGAAACTGACCAAGGAGAGATTCAACCTGGAAATAAGGAGACATTTTCTGACAGTGAGAACAATCATCCCGTGGAACAGAAGTTGCCTTCGGAGGTTGTGGGAGCTTCATCACTTGAGGCTTTCGAGAAGAGATTGGACTGCCATCTGTCAGAAATGTGTAGGGTCTCCTGCTTGGATGGGGGTGGGTGGGTGTTGGACTGGATGACCTATAAATTTCCTTCCAACTCTATTAATCTGAATCTATCTAAGATGATCAAAGATCTGGAGACTAAAACATGAAGAACGGTTGCAGGAACTGGGCATGGCTAGTTTAGTGAAGAGAAGGACCAGGGGAGACATGATAGCAGCCTTCCAATATTGGAGGGGCTGCCACAGAGAGGAGGGGGTCAAGCTATTTTCCAAAGCTCCTGAAGGCCAGACAAGGAATGATGGATGGAAACTGAACAAGGAGAGATTCAACCTGGAAATAAAGAGAAATTTTCTGACAGTGAGAACAATCAACCGATGGCACAGAAGTTGCCTTTGGAAATTGTGGGAGCTTCATCACTTCATCTGTGTGTGTGTGTGTGTGTGTGTGTGTGTGTTTGTTGTTGTTATTGTTGTTGCTTTGCTTTGCAGATCTCCCCTAGCCTGATTCACGGATTTCCAAGATACAATGCCATCCGAGAGACAATAGGGATATTATGTAGGATTTACCTGCAGGTGGGATTTGGTGACTGAAGGTGCCCATTTCATGGCCTCTTGGAGGATCATGCCGCACCGGGCAGCAAAATCCTTAACAATGCTCTAGAGAGAGAGAGAAATAGGGTAAAGTCACCTAGTGATGCATTGCAGGCATAGTCTGTCAATCAACACGGAGAGAAGCAACTTAGAACTAAGGAGAAATTTCCTGACAGTGAGAACAATTAATTAGTGGAACAACTTGCCTCCAGAAGTTGTGAATGCTCCAACACTGGAAGTTTTTAAGAAGAGGTTGGATAACCATTTGTCTGAAGTGGTGTAGGGTTTCCTGCCTAAGCAAGGGGCTGGACTAGAAGACCTCCAAGGTCCCTTCCAATTCTGTTATTCTATTCTAATCTACTCTCTCTACTTTTACGAAGCAAGCCATGGCTTAAGACAATGGGCGAACCCCATTCAAAGATGTACAATATTTATATTCTTTTTACCTCTCTAGCTTCGTAGGTATCAGGAACAGTAATTCTATATGGGGCATCTGGAATGTCATAATACGGTTGGTCCTTATGGATGTCCTAAAACAGAAAAGAAAAAACAGATATTGCAACATTATTCCAAAATGATTCCTAAGGAGAAAACTAATTTCCTAATTCAGGAATAGGGATGCCCAGACAAATCAGGTTTCTTTTCTTTTTTTTTCCCAACGACCGGTAAGATCCCACAGAGTTGGTCTCCTCCGGGTCCCGTCAGCTAAACAATGCCGGCTGGCAGGCCTGCGGGGGAGGGCCTTCTCTGTGGCTGCCCCGGCTCTCTGGAACCAGTTACCTCTCTGAAGGTCTGGACCATCCCCACCCTATTGGCCTTCTGGAAAGCAGTGAAGAGCTGGCTTTTCCGGCAGGCCTGGGGCCGTTGATCTCACTCTTGCGATCTGGTGAGATCCGGCCATGAATGCTGTGAATGAGTTTTTAATGTTTTTAATGTTTTTAATTTTTTAATTTTTTTTTATAATGATTTTTTAAAATGTATTGTGAGCCTCCCTGAGTCTTCGGAGAGGGGCGGCATATAAATTGAATTAAATTAAATTAAATTAAATTAAATTAAATTAAATTAAATTAAATTAAATTAAATTAAATTAAATTAAATTAAATTAAACAATTAAATTAATTAAATTAATTAAATTAAATTAAATTAATTAAATTAAATTAAATTAAATTAAATTAAATTATTAAATTAAATTATTAAATTAAATTAATTGTCCTCATTGTTAGGAAGTTTCTCCTTAATTCCAGGTTGCTTCTCTCCTTAATTAGTTTCCATCCATTGTTTCTCGTGCTGCTTCTGGTGCTTTGGAAAATAAGTTGACCCCCTCTTCTTTGTGGCAGCCCCTCAAATATTGGAAGACTGCTAACATGTCCCCCCACCAGTCCTTCTTTTCTCTAGACTGGCCATACCCAGTTCCTGCAACTGTTCTTTATATGTTTTAGTCTCCAGGCCTTGATTCATCTTTGTTGCTCTTCTCTGCCCTTTTTCCAAAGTCTCAACATCTTTTTTGTAATGTGTAATGCCAAACGTAAATGCACTATTCCAGGTGTGACCTTACTAAGGTTTTATAAAGAGGTCATCTCCTAGTTATGATTGGCCCAAAGTCTCCCAGCCGGCTTTCATAGCTAAGGTAGGACTTGAACTCCCGGTCTCCTGGTGATCGGCCCAAAGTCACCCAATTGGTTTTCATGCCTAAAGTGGGACTAGAATTTCCACTTTCCTAGTTTCCAAGATAACACCTTAACTACCAAACCAAACTGGCTGTTTGTTTCATTTTAACTATTTCCACTGAAATTTTAATAGTTGTTTTTAATTATTTTATACATTTGGGTTTTTTTGTTTCTTGACTCTGTGTGCTGCCTAGAGATGGGCAGCTGTAAAGTAATTGATAATTAATATAATTTATAATAAACAGGGAAAAGACTTTCATTCTGAAGATTGGTAAGAAACGTTGTCGCTTCCTCGCCTACCTTCAGCGCCGGCCCTTTCTCACTTGCCCGCTCGCTGGCCCTTTTTCCTTCCAGCCCCAGCTGCACAAAAAGTTCCAACAAATTCATCAGCAGCTCGTCCACAAGGTGTTCATCCTGTATATTGGCAGCTATGTTAGCCAGGGCATTAATAACAGCTAAGGAACAGTGTCTGATGAGAAGGCAGAAGAGCGGGGGAATAAAGAAAAGAAAACCAGAAGCATCAGCTTTCTGACGAAACATGTTGTCTAATTTTTCTCGTCCTCAAAGCTGGGTAAGATTATGAAAGGGATTTTGAAACTCCTCTGAAAAGCCTTGAAAAACAGGACTTAGATAATTCCTCCAGGTGAGACGGAGGAATAGAAATTTAGTAACTAAATACAGGTAAAGGTTTCCCTTGTCCAGTTGTGTCTAACTAGGAGGCAGTGCTTATCTGTTTCTTGGCCTTGGGAATCAGCATTTTCTGAAGACATTTTCCGCGGTCCTGTGGCCAGCATGCCTATATGCCAAAGGTACACGGAATGCTGTTACCTTCCCACTGAAGTGGCACCTATTGATGTTGGAATTCATTGTTGGAATGTATTTTTATGCAACAACTACAGTAATATTCAGCCAGTAGATGGCAGTAGTTACAAGTTTGGATCTATGGTATATACTCTGTGCTCTTTTGCTGTTACAGCTATATGGTTGAGCAGTAAAGCACATGGTGACTGTGCTTTTTGTTTGCTCTGTATGGTGCTTTATATAAACATAATTTCTAACAATTGATCTACTGGCATTTGCATGCTTTCGGACTGCTAGGTGGGCAGGAGCTGGGGCAAGGACCGGGAGCTCATCCCATCACATGTTGCTCGGTTCTTGAACCGGGGCTGTCAGCTTTCTAGCTGACAAGCTCAGCGTCTTTAACCACTAAGCCATCGTGCCCATAAATAAATAAAATAGAATAAATCCAGGTGGCACCAGATCTAACATCCTGATTTTTAAAAAAATCTGGGTAGCCATTTTTATTGTTGTGTGAAGCATCAGTTTCAAGATTTAAAAAAAAATGAAAGGGGGAAAAATCTACAAACGTTCACATCAACCAGTAATTAAAAATAGATATTTCAATAGCGCGGCAAAAAAATTTAAGTTACCTGTATCCGTGATCTTTATAGTCTTTAGTCGCCGAGTATACAATGGAGCTTGCTTTCACGCTGATCTGCTGAAACAAATTCCACACCTCCTGGTAAATATATTGCTGGAAATAAGGAAATAAAAAAATAAATTAGCAGGGGGAAACAAAAAAACCTTGGGTACAAACAATCAAAAAATAAAAATAAAAACATAAAACATTCCTGACACGATTAATGGGAAATGAATCTCTAACATGATCTCTTAAAAGATGTCTAGAAGCTTCAAGGAAATGAAGGAAGTTCTAGGTCCCAATAAGTTCACCTGAGAAGGGAGATTTAACAGAGTCATTGCGGGGTGTTCCTAGATGTAAAAAGTCAGGTGAACCCAGCTTGGTGCGTTTTGCAATAATCCCCACTTGGCACATGGGGTTCAAAGGCTTTGGGGGGGACCGAAATACCACTTTGGCAAAGTCACAGAGAAGGAGGGAAGGAGAAGGCAGAAGAGGATGAGGCAATTCCCAGGCAGTTGACACGTCCTTACATTTCCGGTGATAACTAAACAGCCCAGCTGGTCGATGATGAGCACGTCAAGAGGAGACGGTGGCTGGCAGAATTTCTGCTGCAAGATCTGGAGAATGGGTTCCATCACTTTGGGGGTGTCCCTCAGAGCCACTGCTATGTGGCCCAGCGCACGGATTGTGTGGTCTGGAATGAGGTGGGCTTCCCTTAAAGAAAACAACAAGTCGCTATTTAAAAAAAAAACTGCGTGCATATGAATATGGAAAAAAAATTACCAATAAAGGAGAATATTTGTAGCTCAGGGTTGAAATGAGAGGTCCTTGATACTCTCTTGAGCTTGGTTGTTTTCTTGCAGACGTTTCATGACCCCACTAGGTAACAATCAGTGCTAGAAGGGGTGGGGTTTGTTGGAGGTGGGGAGGAGGAGGACGACTGTGGAGTCCCTGGTGCCCTCTGAGCTTGGTTGTTTTCTTGCAGATGTTTCATGACCCCACTAGCTAATGTCATCATCTGCTTGCAGACATTTTATTACCCAACTAGGTAACATCATCAGTGCTAGATATGAGTGATATATGCGAGAGGAGGAGGACTGTGGGGTCCTTGGTGTTCTCTCAGCTTGGTTGTTTTCTTGCAGACGTTTCATGACCCCACTAGGTAACATCATCAGTGCTAGAAGGGAGTGGGGTTTGTTGGAGGTGGGGAGGAGGAGGACGACTGTGGAGTCCCTGGTGCTCTCTGAGCTTGGTTGTTTTCTTGCAGATGTTTCATGACCCCACTAGCTAATGTCATCATCTGCTTGCAGACATTTTATTACCCAACTAGGTAACATCATCAGTGCTAGATATGAGTGATATATGCGGAGAGGAGGAGGACTGTGGGGTCCTTGGTGTTCTCTCAGCTTGGTTGTTTTCTTGCAGATGTTTCATTACCCCAACTAGGTAACATCATCAGTGCAACACTGATGATGTTACCTAGTTGGGTAACGAAACGTCTGCGAAAAATTTATTCACCTAGCAATGGAGTATTCCAGAGAGCTTCACTTCCAATTTTCTTCTGGAACACACGGACTGTCCTCCCAGACCGTGGCAACTCAGGGGAGACTTGACTTTCTGGAAACAGAAGCAGTCTGAGATGTTTTGGACCTGGTACTGTGGATAAAACAGATTTGTTTCAAGTCCAGAACATCCCTAGAACACCTCAAACTGCTTCCACTTCGGATGATTTATTTCTGGAATCTGCTCAACTGCTGCGGAGCAGAACAGAGAAGAGAAATTGGAACATTTTATTGCCAGACTGATGCATTTTTGACATCCTAAGATGCTCATGCGTACATGTCAATCTTTTGACAGGAAGAACAATTTGCAAAAATTGCAAGTTCGAATCTCACCAGGCTCAAGGTTGACTCAGCCTTCCATCCTTCCGAGGTAGGTAAAATGAGGACCCGGATTTTTATACAAAGCTGACTTTATATAAAAAAAAGAACACCGCTTGGGGGGGGGCGAAAGCCCTACTAAGCAGGTATATACAAAAGTATGAAGGCTATTGCTTAACGCATTGTAAGCCGCCCTGAGTCTCCGGAGAAGGGCGGCATATAAATTGAACCAATAAATAAATAAATAAATAAATAAAAAGATTTTAGGTCGCAGAAATATCTCGCGGAAAACACTAAATTCCAAATTGTCAAAGGATCTGCATACAAAGGATTTTGTATTTTTTTTTAAAAGAGATAATAACCCCCCTTCCTTCCTTGAGGAAGGAAGTAGAGATCTCCTGCTTGAGCCGGGGGGGGGGGGGGGGGGGGTGTTGGACTAGAAGACCTCCGAGGCTCCTTCCAACGCTGTCATTCTGCGAGATCGCTTTGCAGCATTCAAAGCCACTTACTTATCACTTTCTTGGGAGATGTAGAGACGATTCGATAAACTGGCTAAGAAGGCTTCAACGATGACGGGATCGATGGTCAGACCGGCTTTCAAACACCTGCAAGATACCCAAATTGTTGGGATCAATGTGCTGACTGTGTAAACCGCTTAGAGGGCTGTAAAGCACTGTGAAGCGCTATATAAGTCTAAGTGCTATTGCTATTCTTCCGTGGTAGGAATCAAAATGTCCTTCCATTCCAAGGTGCTTTTTTCAGGAGGCAACTGGACTTCCTTGTTTGTTTTTCTTTGAAGACGTTTCGCTTCTCATCCAAGAAGCTTCCTTCCCTTCCCCACCATCCAGTCAAGAGCTGGAGAAGCTTCTTGGATGAGGAGCGAAACGTCTTCAAAGAAAAAAAAAAACAAGGAAGTCCAGATGCCTCCTGAAAAAAAGCACCTTTGGGATAGTCCTCCAGTTACGAGCGTAATGGCGCTGCCAAAATCTGCTCTTCGCTAAGAACCCAGGGTGGCTTTTCCACCTGCTGAGAGAACCAACCTCTTTGCACACCTGAGATAAAACCTACCTGCAGATGTTATCGATCGCAACGTCCCGGAGCTGTTCGTACATGGAGGATTCGTTTTTCTTGCCCGACATGACGCTCAACGTAGACTCGGCGTGCTCGTTGGTGATGCTGATCTTGATGTCGTTGGTGCCTAAGAGGCATAGAAATTTCCTAAGAAATTGTCATGCGTGTATCCTAATGTTCAGCCAAAATGTTGGAGATGTGATTGTTTGGATGCTACATATTATCACATATGGTGGACTTGCAAGAAAGTGAAGGCTTTCTGGATAAAAATTTGGTGGGTTATGCAAAATGTTTTGAAGAAAAAACTCCAATTTTCTCCTCAATTGTTTTTATTGGGTATAGTTAAGGGTTTTTCAATGGGTGAAACAAAACTGATATTGTACATGGTGACAGCAGCTAGGTTATTGATTGGTCAATATTGGAAAAGGGATGTTTTGCCTACTATTGAAGAATGGACTTTGAAGGTGGCCAGTTTTGCAGAAATGGCGAAGATATCAGCATACTTAAAAGACTGGACTCAAGAGACTTATGCATGGGAGTGGAAGAAATGGATAGATTATGTGCAGAATAAATACCAAACTAGGAAGTATCAGATAGCTTTTGTTGAACGTTGTGTAGAAATGTATAGTATATAGGGGGTAGGATAGTTCAATGTTATGTAGAAATGTATAGTACACAGGGGGGAGATTAGAAGGGCGGTAAAGTATGATATAATATGATGTGGATTTGGATTTCACCTTGGGGAAGTCATGGGAGGAGGGGAGGGCTCGGGAGGGTTAGGGAGGGAAAGCGGGGGGGAAATGGGAAAATTTGTACTTGTAAAACTTTTTCAATAAAAGAAATGGGGAGGGTTGCTAAGTGCTTTTTGCCCCGTTTTACGACCTTTCCTTGCCCTGGTTGTTAAGTGAATCCCCATCGATTTTGCTTGGCCAAAGGTTGCCAAAGATGATCCCGCGAGCCCTGGGCATACTGAGTTTCAGAGGGGATCTAATGAGCGAACCAAAAAATACCTGTTTGGAACTGGCTGTGATATTTGTACAATTTCACCAGGACTGGAGAAGGGATCACAAGGAAATCCCGCAAAGACGGATTGACCGAGTGAACCACCACGGGGAACCTCTCGCACAAGCGGCCGAGACCCTGTGAGAAAAAAAAGAAAAGATACGGAACGTTACTCGTGACACGGGGAAGAAAGGCCACACAATCCTGGCTATAATTGATCCTTAAAGTCTGTTCTCCAATCGTCAGCAGTTCAGTGGTTTGAATCCCTAGCGCTGCGTAATGGGGGGAGCTCCCATTACTTGTCCCAGCTTCTGCCAACCTAGCAGTTCGAAATCACGTAAAAAAAAAATGCAAGTAGAAAAATAGGGACTATCTTTGGTGGGAAGGGAACTGTCAGCATTCTGATGCTGCCATAAAAAGACGAGGCTTGACTTTTCATCTACTTATTTCTCTGTAGATGATATCCCCTAGGAGATGAGATGGTGGGGGGAACATTCCTAGGGGGTGAAGTCAGAAGCTGAGGAGACTGACTTGGAAGATGGCCAATGAGAAGATGAGAATTGGGGAACGGAAAGGGAAGGGTTTGGGGGTCAGAGGGTTAGTATCGGCTACGACTAAGTCGGGGGAATACTTCAGCAAAGATTAATTGTTTGGGAGTGCAATTTATTTGAGATGACATCGAAACCTGAGAGGAACAGCGTTTCATGCACCTTTGGGCATTGAGTCATGCCAGCCACAGGACCACGGAGACGTCTTCGGACAGCGCTGGCTCGTAGGCCCTTTATGTGTATTTCTCCTCAGCCGGGTATTTTCCTACGTAAACCAAGAGTTTCAAAATGCAGCCATAGCTCAGTGAAATCCCATCCACTAGTTCTAGGCTTTATCAGACAGCAAGTAAGCTGCATTTTGAAAATCTTGGTTTACGTAGGAAAAAACCCGGCTGAGGAGAAATACACATAAAGGGCCTACGATAAGAGAAGAAAACAAAATACTTGATCTCTACGGGGAGGAAACATGTGATGAGGGTGTGGCTAACTGATGAGGACTAATTAGTCCGAAATAGCTCTATATTAGTCTCCCAAAAGGCAGCAAACTGCTTACTTGCTGTCTGATAAAGCCTAGAACTAGTGGATATATATATATATATAATTAACCCTGATTCTAAAGTTTCAATCCAACTGGGGAAATATTTATTTATTTATTATTTTATTTGTTTGTCAAACATGTACAAGATAACAAGTATAGGTATAAACATAAACATGAACAAAGGAAGTAAATACGAATAAATGGGGACAGTGAGAGAGGGACGGTAGGCATGCTGGTGAGCTTATGCATGCCCCCTTTAAGAATATACAGACAATCCTCAATTTACAACCTCAACTGAGCCCCAGATTTCTGTGGTTAAGTGAAACATTTGTTCAACGATGTTGAAACTCTGGAAAGAGTGCAGAAAAGAGCAACCAAGATGATTAGGGGACAGGAGGCTAAAACATAGGTTGCAGGAACTGGGCATGGCTAGTCTAGTGAAGAGAAGGACCAGGGGAGACATGAGAGCAGTCTTCCAATATTTGAGGGGCTGCTACAGAGAGGAGGAAGGGGTCAAGCTATTTTCTAAAGCACCTGAAGGCCAGACAAGGAATAATGGATGGAAACTGATCAAGGAGAGATTCAACCTGGAAATAAGGAGAAATTTTCTGACTGTGAGAGCAATCAACCCATGGAACAGAAGTTGCCTTCAGAAGTTGTGGGAGCGTCATCACTGGAGGCTGTCAAGAAGAGACTGGACTGCCATCTGTCAGAAATGGTGTAGGGTCTCCTGCTTGGGCGAGGGGGGGGAGTCAGACTAGATGACCTACGAGGTCCCTTCTAACTCTGTTACAATCTGTTAAACTCGACCTTCTTCCTCCCTGCCGAAGATTCCAAGCTCCGCTGCCTCTTTGCTTCCCCTGGGAAGCCGCCCCTCCCTCCTAGGAATCCAGACGACACTCCACCACACCTGTAAGCAGCAGATCAGGAGAGGCAAGTGGGCGATGATGACTTTGCTGGAGGTCTTGGACTGCAACTTTTCGGATAATCTGATGCAGAGGTTTTCTGCTCCTGGTTTTGCAAGAGAACGAAAAGGAACTCTCGTTAAGAGGAAACGTCTTACAGTAAGAGATGCCAACTCAGGGCTAAACAGCTAGAGGTGTGCTCGGGCATGCCTTTAAGTGCAATAGAGGTAGTCCTCTTTCAGTGACCGCAATTAGGAACAGCCACTAAGTGAAAAAGCATGCGACTTGGCCTTACAAGTTTATTTGCACTTAGGTACTACTGTACAGGATTAACTCTGCTCGTCACAAGCAAAAATGCCTGTCAGTTGTAAATTTATCACACAATTGTTGCACTCGGCAGTCGTTAACCATGGTGTCTACCCCATACAGGTAGTCCTCAACATATGGCCACAATTGAGCCCCACATTTATGTGGTTAAGTGAGAAATTTGGCGAGTTTTGCCCCATGTTTACGACTTTTCTCGTCACTTAACAAAGTGAATCTCTGCAGTTCTTAAATCAGTAACAAGGATTTTAAGCGAATCTGGCTTCCCCATTGATTTTGCTTGCCAGGAGGTCGCAAAAGGGGATTGCATTACTCCCGGGACATTGCAACTGTCATAAATGTGAGTCGTTTTGACAAGCATCCGAATTTTTGATCAGGGGACCATGGGGGGGAATGCTGCAACGGTCGTTAAGTGTGAAAAACGATCATTTGTCACTTTTTTCCAGTGCCGTTGTAACTTCGGTCACTAAATGAACTGTCGTAAGTTGAGGACTACCTGTACAGGTGCCCGAAAGTCGTCAAATGGGGCAAAACTCACTTAACCAATGTCTCACTTAGCAACGTAACTCCCGTGAGCTCAATTGTGGTCGTCAGTCGAGGGCTACCTGCATATAAGGCTCACCTTGCTCATCCTTCACAGCCCAAACCATGAGATCCACGCAGGCGGCGTTCGCCTGGCAACGCAATTTCAGCGGATTCAGCTCGTTGTGCAATTTATCGACTTCGTGAAGGAGTTTCTGAAGCTCCGGCTGGCTGGTGTTGAATTGTTCCAGCACGAAATCGTGAATTTCTTTCACAAAAGAGTTGGGAAGATCTAAGAGATGGAAAAGAAAAAGGAAAAAAAATAATAAGTAGAATTCTGACAAAAAACCATGTTTTGTGATGGTGTAGCAAAAAAGGCATCGTGTTATTTAAAACGCTGGATCCTGAGCTAATCGGCCGTTCTTTCAAAACCAGATGTCAACTTGCAAAGCTTTCAAGTTGCCATGAGCAGGAGGGAGGGAGAACTGACAGAGCTGATTGATTTCCCTAACTGAAACTACATTCCACAGATGCTTTGCTACCGCAATCAGTAGGAGAGTTTTGGTTTTCACAGGCAGCCGAAGTGGTTAATTGGAGAATGTGATTTATGACATGGCCAGGGAGGAGGGGAGAGACAGGGTCATAGGGGAACGTAAATCTATGTGGGATTAGTTCTAACTGCATCCGGATATTGCCGAAATGATGCTCCTAATAAATGACTGTATTTCTTTGGAAGTTTGACTCGTGGCTCATGAATTAATTAGGGCATCTTTCGGAAACTTCACACCAGAAATATTTTTAATCCCTTTTGACAAACGTTCTTCATACGAAATCACTCACAGTTTTCTACAGATGAGCAACAGGGGAATATTCTCTGGAACTCTGGTAATATTCAGTAGGAAAATGGCTTAGATATTTTGAGATTAACGTTCATGACAACCCATGCAATTTTGGTCACCACGATAGCGGTGGAATTTTTTTACTACCGGTTCTGTGGGTGTGGCCTGGTGGGCGTGGCATGGTGTGGCTTGGTGGGCGTGGCAGGGGAAGGATACTGTAAAATCTCCATTTCCTCCCCACTCCAGAGAGAGGTTACTACAAAATCCCCATTTCCTCCTGATCAGCTGGGACTTGGGAGGCAGAGAATAGATGGGTGCAGGGCCAGTCAGAGGTGGTATTTACTGGTTCTCCAAACTACTCAAAATTTCTGCTACCGGTTCTCCAGAACTGGTCAGAACCTGCTGAATACCACCTCTACACCACGATGTAAAAAAGATGTTGAGACTCAACATCTAGAAAGAGTGCAGAGAAGAGCAAGCAGGATGATTAGGGAACTGGAGGCTAAAATATCTAAAGAACAGTTGCTGGAACTGGGTATGTCTAGTCGGATGAAAAGAAGGACTAGGGGAGACATGATAGCTTGTCCTGATATCTCAGGGGCTGCCCCAAAGAAGAGGGGGTCAAGCTCTTCTCCAAAGCTCCTGAGGGCAGAACAAGAAGCAATGGGTGGAAACTAATCAAGGAGAGAAGCAATTTAGAACTAAGGAGAAATTTCCTGACAATGAGAACAATTAATCACTGGAACAACTTGCTTCCAGAAGTTGTGAATGCTCCAACACTGGAAGCTTTTAAGATGTTGGATAACCATTTATCTGAAGTGGTGTAGGGTTTTCTGCCTGAGTAGGGGGTTGGGCTAGAAGACCTCCAAGGTCCCTTCCATTCCATTCCATTCCATTCCATTCCATTCCAAATTCCAAATTCCAAATTCCGTTCAATTCAAAATTCTGTTCAATTCTAAATTCTATTCTATTCTATTCTATTCTATTCTATTCTATTCTATTCTATTCTACTCTATTCAAAATTCTGTTCAATTCTAAATTCTGTTCAATTCTAAATTCTCTTCTCTCTCCTCTCCTCTCCTCTCCTCTCCTCTCCTTTCTCTCCTCTTCTTCCTCTCCTCTCCTCTCTTCTCTTTTAAATCACCAGGAAGTCAAAAGCTTATTAACACCTTTTACGGGCCAATGATCCAAGGGAAGTTTCTTCGTCTTATTACCGCAAGCGTCTTACCTTTCATATGGTACAGGGTGTCTCTCAGCATTTTGAATTGAGCAACGTAGAGAGGGTCGCTGAACATTTTGTAGAAGAGCTCGACGTGCGGATTGGCCTGTAAGGCATTTAACAGAAAGGGTCAATTCAAGAGCAAACTTTAAAGCATCGGATTTACACGGTGGAAATTCCTTTAAAAAATGGAAGATATAAGTCTCCCAAAGGAGCAATTAGCAAGCATGTTGACTTAGATCCAGCATATGAATGTGTAAGAAACCAGACCATTCGGACAACCAATCAACGAGAGAACCAATCAGCTGCTCAGAATTTAAATATAGCTCCAAACGAAGAACCAATCATACTACCAAGTGTCCATTCAAGACACACCCTGAAAATAAGACCTAGGATAGGTTTGTTACATGTGCCTAATATAAGCCCTACTCTCAAAAACAGCCGTGGCCAGAGGAGCTTTCTATCAGATTCACCTGATTCGCCAATTGCGTCCCTTTCTAGACCGGGACTCATTACGCACAGTCACTCAAGCCCTCGTCATTTCCCGACTTGATTACTGCAATGCGGCCGCGCGAGTAATTATGGGAGCAACATGGCGCTCACAAGTAACACCTCTTCTACGCGAGCTGCACTGGCTTCCGGTGGCCTTCCGAGTGCGCTTCAAGGTGTTGGTTCTTACCTTTAAAGTGCTCCATGGCTTAGGACCTGAGTACTTACAAGACCACCTGTTGCAACCGATAACCTCCCACCAACCAATACGCTCTCACAGAGTAGGCCTACTCATAGTACCATCATTAAAACAATGTCGTCTAGTAGTTCCAAGGGAGAGAGCCTTCTCTGTGGGGGCACCTACTCTTTGGAACAAAATACCCCCTGGAATACGAATAATCCCAGATCTTCGCACTTTCCGACGTGCCCTGAAGACCTTTCTGTTTCAACAAGCAGGGCTAGCATAAACATCTAAATTCTATGCCAAGGTCTTAGCAGATACACCAAGTTGACTCAATTTATTATTTACTGTTTATAAAAAAAAAAAAAAATTATACGTATATGAAATCTTATTCTGTTCACCGCCCTGAGTCCTTCGGGAGAAGGGCGATATAGAAATTCAATAAAAAATTCAATAAAAAATTAAATAAATAAATAAATAAATAAATAAAATAAGCCCTGCTTAAGTGCCTGCACAGACGCACGCCCGCCCCATTCCATTTGGTTTCTCACGGTGCCACGGCCATGAGGCAAGACAGGTTGGTGATGGAGCTGCTCCACACGCCCCACACTGGCTTACCTGAGGGCCCCCGCAGTCAGGCCATCCACACCCCAACACCTGCCACGTGGCGGCAGCACAAGGGCCCACGTGGCCGGTTGGCTCACATCTGCTAGCTCGCGGCTGCAACGGACCAGGAGGCTGAGTGGGATCCTGCTGTATGGGATTGTTGGTGCCGTGACCGCGAGGTGAGGCAGGAGTGGCCTGGCTGCAGGGGCCCTGAGGTGAGGGACGCTTGGAGCAGCTCCATCTCCCTCGCCTCAAAGCAAACAAGCAGAAGAAGTAGGTCTCCCATACACCGGGGGTGTCTTCTCCCCCAAAATAAGCCCTAGTGCCATGATGGTGAACCTATCGCACACGTGTTCTGCCCCAGCTACGGACCCCAAAGAACGCAGCACACACAAAGTCTGTACAAACCTTAAGTTTACTAAAATAAATTCAGTTTTTCAAACAAAGGCTGTTAATTAACTTTAACAGCCAACAAGAATCCAAAGAATAAACAATCGTAATCTTACTATGGTTGGCAGAAAGCCCAGAAGCAATTTGCAGAGAACTAAGATCAAGGCGCGAAGGAGAGGGAACAAAGTTGTTCCCTGCAAATTGTTTCAGTTGGGGTTCCTCCTTAAATAGGCTAAGGGAGTGGCCAATTAGCCCCAAGCCTTACTCTCGAGGAGACCTCCTCCTGAGGAGCCACTCCTGCCTTTTGGCAGCTCTGCACGCCCGTGCATCGAGAAGAGGCTCCTCCTCTTCGTCCTCTTCACTTATGGAAGCTTCTGGAGGTTCTGAAGGCCCTGGCTGAATCACCGCCTCTGGCACCACATCTTCTCCAGCCTCCTCGTTGTCTGACTCGAGTACCAGCTACCCAGGCTGCTGGCACAGCACCACACCAGCCTCCTCACTGTCTGAATCAGCTACTAGCTGCACAGGCCGCTGATGGGCCTCAACACTACCCTAGTTCTTATTTTGGGACCCAAAAGAAAATAAGACCCGGTCTTATTTTTGGGGAAACATGGTATATAAGCTAAAGAGGAACAGGAAAAAAAAAAATCCTGCTGATGACGTTATCTAGTCTAGTAATGAAACATTCAGAAATGAAACAAGCTTGGAGCGCAAAAACCGCTGGCAAAATCTATAACCCGAGCTACAAAGTATTTTCTATTTTTTTCCGCTGTAAAAATAAACGTACCTCAATAACTTCAGTCACCACTGCATCCAGGTTTTTGAGAACCGAATCCCCAACGATTTGCTTGACCTTTACGGTTGAAAAGAAAGACACATGTATATAAAATCCAAACGTTTGCAAAACATTTTGAGCAGAATGTGGATTGTGTGGGTGAGCGCATTACGGGCAGTCCTTGACTTGTAACTATTTCTTTAGCGACTGTTCAAACAAAGGCAAGCGGGAGAAGTCCTTCGGGATAATCACCCACCTTTATCTCCCTTGACACGCTGCCAAAGACCTAATTGGCAAAGTCACACGGAGTCCAAAATCAAACAGAGATGCTGACTGGGAACAGAATTAACAACGTTGCTTTCCTACAAAGGCCCCATGTGCCTTTGCTTCTCTTTAATATCTTATGGGAGGGGCCAATCATCTCCAGGCCTTACTCCTGAGTTGTCCCTTTTGTTTTAACTGTTCTTGCCTTCTGGCAGCTCTGCGCATGCGCGCACTGGGAACAGGCTCCCTCTGTTCCTCTGCCTCTCTGCTGTCCGACTCTGGGGACTCCGGAGTCCACGCATAACTCCCAGATGGCCCTGGCCCCATCTCTCCCTCTGAAGCAGAGCCCTCGTCTGGGCCTTCCCCAGATTCCAGGACTGGCCCATGTTCCTCCCCAGCCTCCTCACTGTCCGAATCTGCTGCCAGCTCCACAGGCTGCTGGCGGACCACAACAGGAGTATAAATCCTTCCATTCCCCACCATCTTCTGTCAAGAGCTGAAGAAGCTTCTTGGATGAGAAGCGAAATATCTTCAAAGAAAAACAAGGAAGTCCAGTTGCCTCTTGGAAAAACAAAGCACCTTTGGGGCAACCATGGCCTGGATGACTGAGAATCTCCATAGATTTTTATCCTACCTTATTCTCCCAGGGGCAGCCCACTTACCATGTTCAACAACTGGCGAAGCATTTCTAGCGGAATGTTAAACTCCTTGTTACTGATCCCATTGAAGAGGGGCGAAACAGAGAAACTGGAGCTGATGGTGGAGAAATAATATTCGGGATCGACAGCGCTCCCATCCGGCAGATAGGAACCTGCTTATTAAAGAAGGGAAGAGAAAAATGGTAACCAAATTCTTTTGTCGCCCACGTGTCAGGGTCCAAGTAATAGACCCATAGCAAACAAAACTCCCAGGCAGGTAGATTCCTCCAAGAACGGTTTTATTGGCTATATCCGTGATGGCAAACCTGTGGCACACGTGCCACAGGTGGCACACAGAGCCCTGTCTGCGGGCACGCCAGCTGTTGCCCCAGCCCAGGTCCACCGCCACGCATGCGCGAGGGGCGGGGCCTGTCACTGCGTTATTTTATTTGCCAGCTGAACTCATCATTTCTGGACTATCAGACTTTCCGTACCTTGCCAAGAATTGTTATCAAAAGCTACTACGCATGTCCATCCACCCACATTCCTTCCTTCACACACTCCTTTCCTTTGTTCTCATGCCACGGGGGTGTCGACTGCTGGAAGGCAGCCGGCCCGAATTACTTTCAAAAATGTAGCAATTAACTTTCTTAGTTAGTGAGGTGTTTTATTTTCTTTATAACAAATAAATGAGTTTTATTAGAAACCTTTCTTCGCGTTTCTTTTTCAGAATATTGCAAACAAGGAGGAGCCTCGATTCATCTCCTCTAATCTAATCAGGGTGATTGTCCCAGAGCCAAAAATGGGATTAATCAACGCCCTGACAGGGCCTTCCCCGATCTCCGCAAGTTCCCAGAGCACCCTACTTTCTCCTCCATTTCTGCCGCCCATGCCTTTCCCGATTTCCGCAGATTCCACCCCCAGCGCGCCCTACCTTTCTATTCCATTTCTGCCACCCCCACCAACCTGGAAGCCAAAACGGGGTGCAGGGGCACCGTGTGAGGGCCCCCCGCACCCCGTTTTGGCCTGGAAAGCCACCTGCACCAACTGTTGTGACCCAGGCCCAAGTAGGTATTATCAGACGCAATCAGTTCGAAAACAAACAGACTTTATTAGAACAGCTGAGAATTAACTCCTTCTCAGCACAGTCCAATCTAATTCAAAACAAATTCTTCATAACACAATTCTCCTGCTCCTGCTGTCCGTACACTCAACTCTCTTCTATCACTGATGATGTTACCCAGTCTGGTAATGAAACGTCTAAAAGAAACCACCAATCTCAGAGGGCACCAAGGACCCCACAGTCCCTCCTCCTCTTTCTCAGTCCTCCCCTTCTCCTCCTCTCCGCATACCCCACTCCCTTTAGCACTGATGATGTTACCTAGTTGGGTCATGGAACGTCTGCAAGAAAACCAAGCTCAGAGAGCACCAAGGACTCCTCGCGTTAGTGGCTGCTGTTCAGTTGGCACAGAACAAGAATATTCAGTGACCAGAGATGGAGCCAAGTTGGCAAAGGACCCACAGGGTCTAAATTTTATATATATCTTATATTCTACATTCATTTAAGATTTTTATTTTGCAAAAAGGAGAAAGAAATACCTTCAAAATACTGCATAGCCGTTCCTCCTGGAGAACCGGGCAGGGGGATCCCACGATCAGGGCTGACCTGAAATGCAGAGACAGGCATGATAATAGCATCCAATGGGGCTGGCCTTCGCTCTGTCCTACCAATTAGGTGGGAAAAATCAAGATGGTCACTAAAATATTTTGAAGAAGGGCCATCGCCCCCTAATTTCTCCTGATGGGTTGATGGTCTTTCGAAATCCAAGCATCGGTCGGGCTTGAAGAGTCGAGACCTCACATTAAGTCCCAGTTCAGCTGATTTATTGCTCATGCCTCTACAGTAACATAAGAATCTAGCCCACTTAACGGCCGTGACTGGGAGGATTTTTCATCAGGTCCGCCTGATCCGCCAGTTGCGTCCCTTTCTGGATCGGGACTCGCTACACACGGTCACTCATGCCCTCGTCACCTCTCGTCTGGACTATTGTAACACTCTCTACATGGGGCTCCCCTTGAGGAGCACTCGGAGGCTCCAACTGGCGCAGAGTGCGGCCGCGCGGGTGGTAATGGGAGCAACGTAGATGTTGTGGCCCCGCCCTCTGAGCCTATCCCATCGAAGGAAGAAAGCTCCGAGCATGAGGAAGAGGAGTCAGCCAGGCCTCCCTCTCCAGGCCCCTCCCCTCTGGCACTGTCTCAGGTGCCGGCCGAGGGAGAGGAGATTAGCAGAGAGACAGGTGGCTCGGATGAGAGCGGGGGAGAGACATCATTCCTGGACGCACGCCTCCGAAGGCGTGATAAACGATTGCAGCAGCTCAGGAGGCGTGCTAGGGATTAGAACTGAGTCACTGGACCACACCCCAGAGACTATATAATAGAGGGTGGTGGCCAGTGATCCTTGTGACGAACAAAACTAACCTTGGATAGTCACTAAAGCCTCGTTCGGAACTGCTGGGAGGAATATTTATTGTTGTTGGACGTTTGGAAGCTGAGTATTTATCTTTCTGTTTTCTGTGGAAATAAAAGCACTTGGCAGACGGCGTGTATATCGCTGCCAAGTTGGAGATAAAGAGCTGGGTGTGTTCCAAGTGCTTCCTTAACCCTCGGCTGGCTGTGTTTGTGTGTGTGTGTGGACGGGGACAGATCAGTGGAGCTCCCATATAACACCTCTCCTGCGCGAGCTGCACTGCCTCCCGGTGGTCTTCCGGGTGCGCTTCAAGGTTCTGGTTATCACCTTTAAAGCGCTCCATGGCTCAGGACCTGGTTACTTACGGGACCGCCTGCTACCACCAATAGCCTCCCACCGGCCAGTACGCTCCCATAGAGAGGGGCTCCTCCGGGTGCCGTCGGCCAAACAATGTCGACTGGCGGCCCCGAGGGGGAGAGCCTTCTCTGTGGAGGCACCTACAATCTGGAACAAGCTCCCCCCGGAGATACGGAGGATCCCGGATCTGCACACCTTCCGTCGCACGCTTAAAACGTTTTTCTTTCATCAAGCTGGCCTGGCCTAAATCTTCTCCTCTTTTAAATTTAAATTTTAAATACAAATTTTAATCTGTTTAAATTATGGGGTATTTTAAATTCAGCCAAATTATTTAATTCGTTTTTAATCTATTTTAAATTTTTGTATCTCTGTGTTTTATCTTCTGGCTGTTCACCGCCCTGAGTCCTTCGGGAGAAGGGCGGTATAGAAATTTAATAAAATAAAATAAAATAAAATACATAAATAAAATAAACTAAAGGCCAGCATTAAATTGGTGCTAGGTAAGAGTTAAAGGAACGAACATAGCTTTTGTGGCTAAGGTGGGACTAGAATTCACCATCTCCTGGTGATTGGCTCAAAATCACCCGCCAGCTTTCATGCCATAGGCGGGACTAGAACTTACCACCTCCTGGTGATTGGTCCAAAGCCACCCAACTGGCTTTTGTGTCTAAAGCAGGACTAGAATTCACCATCTCCTGGTGATTGGCCCAAAGTCACCCAGCCGTTTTCATGCCTAAAGTGGGACTAGAATTCACCATCTCCTGGTGATTGGCTCAAAATCACCCAGCCAGCTTTCATGCCATAGGCGGGACTAGAACTTACCATCTCCTGGTGATTGGCCCAAAGTCACCCAGCTGGCTTTCGTGCCTAAGGCAGGACTAGAACTCACAGTCTCCTGGTTTCTAGCCTGGTGTGTTAACCCCTTAATTGCTCCAGGCCAGAGTTACTTCTCGTCATCATCTGGACCACTATTTTTACTGTGCAAATTTTCAAGATTAAATACCCTCACCCACGTGCTTAAGTTTTTCCAGCTAGATTGGAAATGCAATTCTAGGCGCAACATCTGGTCGGTGTCAAAGGCAGCCTGGGATACAGGTAAGGTTTTCTATTCTAAAAGCAAAGCCACCTGTGTGATGCTGGAAATGCTGCTCGTTTTCCTCTTCAAAGATCCTTCTTGGCAGACGGTCAGCAGGGAGTTGGGAAGGATGGAGCGGAAGTCATTGAAGGAACGCCTCCGTATCCCATCCAGTTCGCTGGAGGCCCGGTGGGAATGGGGGCTCACTTTGGGGAAAAGCTTGGACAGCAGAGCCTCTTCTGAGTGGCTGTAGCGACCAAACGCTCGGGATATTCCAATCAGGCAAGGCAGGGCGTATTTGCACAAATATTCTGGAAAAGGAGGAAGTAGGGGGTTTAAAGAGCCGAGGTGGCACAGTGGTTAGAGTGCAGGCACTGCAGCCTACTTCTGCTGACTGCTGACTGCCTGCAATTTGGCAGTTCGATTCTCACCAGGCTCAACGTCGACTCAACCTTCCGTCCTTCCAAGTTGGGTAAAATGAGGACCCAGATTGTTGGGGGGCAAGAGGCTGACTCTGTAAACCGCTATGAGAGGGCTGTAAAAGCACTATGAAGCGGTATATAAGTCTAAGGCCTATTGCTATTATCTGCCTCATCCGATAAAACAGCTGCCCCCAACCTTTGGGGCACAAGGGACCGGTTTCGTGGAGAGAGGTTTTTTCACGGAGCGGAAGGAGCGTGGTTTCGTATGCTTTCTCCCTCCCCCGTGGATGGGGCTTTGCTTGTTTGCGCGGCCCGGTTTCTGGCATGCTGCCGGCTCGGTGTCGGTCCGCAGCCCAGCTGGCTGTGGACCCCTGCAAGAAAATGTTTCTTCCAACCGGCAGTTGCTATGTTGGTTTTCTTTAGAATAACAGAGTTGGAAGGGACCTTGGAGGTCTTCTAGTCCAACCCCCTATACCAGTGATGGCTAACCTTTTTGCCATCGCGTGACAAAAGTGGGGAGTCATGCGGGGGGGGGGGGTCGCACATCCGCACGTCCACACCCATAATTCCATGCCCCCTCACCCCCCCCATGCCCCGTTTTGGGCCTACCTGAACCCTCCAGAGGGCAAAAAACGCCTCACCCACCCTCTGGAGGCCAGAAATGGCCCATTTCCCGACTTCTGGTGGGCCCAGGTTCCAGAAGCTTTCCTGGAGGCTGGGGAGGGCGAAAACGCCCTCTCCCGCCTCCCCCGGAGGCTGAAAACGCCCTCTCAGAGTCTCCGCACGAACCCTGTACTTACCTGGCATCCAAAATGGGCCGCGTGGAGACTCCTGGGAGGGGAGGCATGGGCGGGGCCAGCCAAAAATCAGGTGGCTGGCGCACGCATGCGCACTGGAGCTGACCTAGGGCAACGGCTCACGTGCCAGAAGATATGGCTCTGCATGCCACCTGTGGCATACGTGCCATAGGTTCACCATCATGGCCCTATATCCGTGATGGCGAACCTATAGCACGCGTGCCACAGGTGGCACGTGGAGCCATATTGATGGGCACGCGGGCATTGGCCTAGCTCAGCTGCAGCACACTTGAGCGCGCAGGCCAACTGATTTTCAGGCCTTCTGGACACACCGAAGTAGAGTAGAGTAGAGTAGAGTAGAGTAGAGTAGAGTAGAATAGAATAGAATAAAATAGAATAGAATAGAATAGGAGTTAGAATAAGAGAGTAACAGAATAGAATACAATAGTAGGAATAGAAATAGAATAAAATAGAAATAGAATAACAAAATAGAATACAATAATAGGAATAGGAATAGGAATAGGAAAAGAATAGAATAGAATAGAATAGAATAGAATAGAATAGAATAGAATAGAATAGAATATGAATATGGAATGGAATGGAATGGAATAGAATAGAATAGAATAGAATAGAATAGAATAGAATAGAATAGAATAGAATAGAATTTTTTATTGGCCAAGTGTGATTGGACACACAAGAAATTTGCCTTGGTGCATATGCTCTCAGTGTACATTGTGGCTGTAAGTTGAGGACTAACTGTACTAGTCATTTGCAGATAAAAACAGCGGGAGAAAAATTTAATATTTGCTGTTACAAGGAGCAATTATCACATCGGAAACGTATCTTGCTTACCTTTATCCTGGATCTGCGGAGATTGACACATCCCCAAGAGAACTTGCATCACTTGTAAAATTGGCTCCAAAACCTGTAACAATAAAAGCCGGCAATTAGAAATAAAAATCTAGGGGCAGAATTAACATTACGTAAACACGTTGAATGTTGTTAACAATTGAGGATAGCCTAAAATAACAAAACATGAACAGTAATGTTAAGTTACAGAATGAAGTAATAACGTTAAATGTCAGAAGGTTGAAACAAAGATAAAGCCAGAGCTATAATTAAAATATTTCCTTCTATGTTTCTAAGCACCTGATTGCTAACAGTTGAAAACATGTTTTTCAAAAAGAGAGTTCAGCGGTTTGAAGTCGGAAGTTAACTAGTGAAGTTTACTCACCAGTAATAATTTAGGTCCTTATCTCGTTTTGAATGAATGGCCTCCACTTGGCTAATGCAACAAGGACAGAGATGCTGTTCTCACTTAATGGCAATAATTGTGACCGGAATTTCTGTCGCTAAGCAATGCAGGTGTAAAGTGCAACTTTGTGTGACTGTACCAGTTATGATGGCAGTTCTGGTAGTCCTTGGGTTGCCATCGTTAACCAAATCACCGTTGGTCATTAAACAAAGACCTCACGTGACTGTGGCTTCTGACTTCCTGTTGGCTTTTCTACAACCTCTAGCTTGCAGAAAAAAATGCTTTTAAAAGCCTCTGACGATCCCAGCTGAGTTTGCCTGATCATCAGAGGCTTTTAAAAGCATTTTTTTTTCTGCAACCTCTTAAGGTTGTAGAACAAACGCTTTTAAAAGTTAAAAAAAAAAAAAAGTTGGCCACGCCCACCCAGTCACATTACCACCACCTCCACCAAGCCACGCCCACAGAACCGGTAGTAACCAATTTTACATTTCACCACTGTTCCACACCCATTTGCACTACTCAGGTGACCCTGAGGACAAGCGGCCTCAATGACTCTCTAAAAAGGATGCAAATGACCAGCTGTCGGCAAGGAGTATAAATCCTTCCATTCCCCCACCATCCACTCAGAGCTGAAGAAGCTTCTTGGATAAGAAGTGAAACGTCTTCAAAAGAAAAACCAGAAAGTCCCGTTGCCTCTTGAAAAAAAGCACCTTTGGGACTTTAAAATGATAGAAGAAAATAATAATAAGTCAATGCGTTGAATGGCACGTGACCACTCTTACCTGCTCTCTTAAAGACGCATCTCTGTAGGCCACATCGGAGAGCAAGGTCACCAAACAGAAGCTGAAGTTTTCTGCGACTGGAAGGGTGCCTATAAGTGTGATAATTAATGGAGCAGGATTGCGATTAACCAGGTGAATGCACGCCAGCGATCCACCCTAGACCAAGACGTGGGAGGATCAGCCAGCTTTTTAATTTATTTATTAATTAAATTTATTCCCTCCCCCCTTCCCATCTCATTAGTGAGCCATGGAAGTGAACACTGTGCTAAACCTTCATCCCTCTTCTTAGTGCCTTGCCTCACAAATCCAGATTTAAGAAGCTGACATCAGATAGTCTAGCTAAGCCAATGTTTCTCAACCTTGGGGATTTTTAAGAGGTGTGGACTTCAACTCCCAGAATTCTCCAGCCAGCATGTGGAATTCTGGGAGTTGAAGTCCATGCTGATGTGGCCTGCTGGCAGCCAGTGGGGCTGGAAAGCAGAGTCAGACAGTGAGGAGGTTGGGGAGGAACAATGGGCCGGTCCTGGGGGCTGGGGAAAGCTCGGACGAGGGCTCTGCGTCGGAGGCAGAGAGGGAGCTAGACAGCAGCGAGGCAGAGGAACAGCTGGAGCCCGTTCCCAGTGTGCGCATGCGCAGAGCTTGCCAGAAGACAAGAGCAACTCAGAAAGCAGGGTCGACTCATGAGTAAAGCCACACCTTGGAGGTGAGTGGCCCCTCCCATAGGAAACAAAAGAGGAGCGAACGGGGAGGGGGCTTTTGCAGGGAACAATTTGTTCGGTCGGTCGTTTCAAGAGTGGAAAGTTCTGTTCGTGACTCTAAGAGACTCTGTGCCAAGTTTGGCCTTGTACTGCGTTTGGAAACAAGTTACTTGGCAAGCGAGAGAAGGTGTGTTGATAAATATTCCTTTGAAAAACTGTTTGGACAGGCCTTGCTGACTGTGAATGAAAGGAATTCACAGTCGTGTAAATAAAAGCGGTTTTGCCGAGACCAAGACTCTGCTTTTTAAGGGAACCTAAGTCGGAACACGTGCATCATAATGTTGCCAAGGTTGAGACATACTGGCCTAAACCTAAAATCTGGCTAAACTCGTCCCTGCCTCCCCCCACGCCCCAAAGTTTAAAAAGTCACCTCGGCCTTTTCGCGAATTGCTTTCTTCAATCCATTGCACTTTGGGAAGGCCCCTCAGTAGCCGGAGTAGGTAAGGGATAAGTGAATCTTTGTGCTGGAAGAACAAATTCTTTTGTTTTAAAAAAATAAATGTTACAACCACAACAGAATGCATGCGGGAAAAATGTTATCTCGATACTCTAAGAATGAGGCCAAGCTCAGCTCAAACGCACTGCACAAATCATCAGAATAATCTGCACCACACGGCTAATAAGATTGAGCAGAAAATACAAAGAAAAGGGCTTCACGAAAAGAAACAATCCAAGCCAACCAATTAGGCCAGTGTTTATTAACCATAGGAACTTCAACTCCCAGAATTCTACAGCCAGCAGAGGGAATTCTGGGAGTTGAAGTTCCACACATCTAAAAATCACCCAGCTTGAGAAAGTTTTAAACAAATTAACGTGGCTAAACAAATTTAGCAGACCTGAGATATTACGGTGTTTTAATAGTTTTATTTCAGTATACTGAGTTTGTGGCTGTGCCCTGGAGAACCTGAGGAAGGAGGGGTTGTAAATTTTTTTTTTTTTTAAATGGATTTGTGAATAAGGGGAACGGTACCTGCAGGTCAGATTCTATGAGAAAAATTCCCAGTGCAATCACGGCATCTCTGCGACGCTCGTCCAGCTGAAAAATCCCATGGATATCCACGGGACACATGCACAGAAGTTTTTGGACCTATGGGAGAAATAAAGGGGAGGATATACAGGTAAACCTCAAAGTACGACCAAAACTGAGCCCCAAATTCCTGTTGCTAAGTGAGACCGCCCTTAAGTGAGGTTTGCAAATTTCTGGGGCTAAGCAAGACATTTTGGTAAGTGAGTTTTGCCTCATTTTACGACCTTCCTTACCACACTTGTTAAGTGAATCACTGCAGATGTTAAGTTAGTAACATTGGTTGTTGAATGACTCTGGCTTCCCCATTGCCTTTGATTGTCAGAAGGTCGTAAAATGGGACAAAACTCACTTACCAAATGTCTTGCTTAGCAACACAAATTTGGGGGTCAATTTGTGGTCATGTCAAGGACTACTTGTATAAACATATAGTATACTCATATTGTACAGTGCCATCCTACACGTTAGATGCAAGCTCTAAGCAATTCAATAGGTAAAACTTTAGAAGATCGCACTTTGAGATCATCTTCTTCTTTTAATGACCCCATAATCCCTTGCGGGGTGGAGTCTTTGGCAACTGAATGGAGCTGAGGGTTTACTGGCCGGATGCCCTTCCTGTCGCCAATGCGGAGTTTTGTTCAGCAGATCTATTCTCAGTGTGCCCAGAGAGAGAAATATCTGCCTCTACCTAGGATCGAACTCACAGCCTCCTGATTGTGAGGCGAGAGCTACACCTCTAGGCCCACCGCATCCCTCTAAGTTTGCCCTTTGAGATACTTTTCAGAAATCAGTATTTCTGTAACTAGTGTTTATTTATCCCTCCTTTGTTCTTAATTCTTCATTGCTCTCTGACCTCTCAATAGAGCAGAGGTCTTCAAACTTTGGCAACTTTAAGACTTGTGGACTTCAACTCCCAGAATTCTCCAGCCAGCATAGAGAAGTCCACAAGTCTTAAAGCTGCCAAGTTTATAGCCTAACCCACTTAAATGTCACTGCCATATAGAGTTCATGCAATCTGGTAGGGACCAGAACAAATCTTTCTGTATTATTGAAATATTCTTACCCATTTTGCCTACTAAACACAAAATATGTAAGGAAGACATCATAATAATCAGCCAAAAAATAAAACTTATGAACACGGGAACGAAAGCCACATCATTACAGTGGTTGAATATGGTCTCAAATGAAAACCTGAACTGTAGGTTAGGTTACGTAATCCGCAGACAGACAGATGAATGACAAACCAGCTGAAGATAACTTGGCGTGCAGAAAAATTGTAGCGAAATCTGCGATTGTGTGTGTGGAAGAACACAAAACAGGTTGCAATAACCATATATGTGCATTTTCTTTTAGTTTGCTTTCTTTTACTGTCTGCAGTTGACTTTAGCAAATGTTTATTGAAGTCCGGCAAAAGTTTATTTTGACTTCGTGCCTTTAGCAGTTACAACTTTACAACCTTAAAAGAAAACAATCATTCTATGCTGAAAAAGAAACAGCGAATACACTTTTTACCAAAACAACCAGTCACCAAGTTTAGAAGGAATCTCTCTAAACCAGTGCTTTCCAAAGTTGGCAATTTTAAACTGCGTGGATTGCAGAATTGCTGGTTGGGGAATTCTGGGAGTTGAAGTCCACATATCTTAAACCTACCAAGTTTGAAAAAAAAACCTGCTCTAAACTAAGAAGCTGATCCTGTGCTTAATTACTTAAAAAAATTCCACAATAATCTAGGCGGTTTACTCCCAAGCAGAACATTCAACACATCAACTCAGACATAAATCTGATTTAATCCAAGCTACACCTACATAGAATAGAATAGAATTCTCAATTTGACCAAGTGTGATTGGACACACAAGGAATTTGTCTTTGATGTATATCCTCTCAGTATACATAAAAAGACAAGCAAGAATCATAAGGTACAACACTTAATGATAGTCATAGGGAACAAATAAGCAACCAAATCATACTAGGAAACAATCAATATAAATTGTAAGGATACCATCAACAAGGTTACATTGGGTAATAATGAAAATTCACCAGAACACAAAGAAGCAATGACTGACTATAGTTGTATTGACTGGACAGATCATCCTAGCAAAAAGGAGGTCTACCAAATTAAAAAAAAAATAATAATAGAAGAGCTGAATGGTTTGAGAACACATATATATGCTGCAGAGACCAAAAGATATTACAAAATTCCTTTTTTAAAAAAAGACAATGAACAATGTTTTTGAAACTAAACAGGTAGAAACATTTCTAACTGCCCAGAGAAAGTGTAAACACAGTTCACATGCGTAATTTTGCTAGAGCACAAGCATTTCCCAATAATGCCGTACCTGGTTATGTAAATCTTTGTGATCACCTGACAAACAGGTGGATTATCTGACAAAGAAAAGCACTGAACTTTCACTCAAGTTCACCGCTATCCTGTCACCCCTAATTCTTCTTTTCTTTAGACTAGCTTAGCCAGACCCAAAATCTGCAGTCTTTCTTCATATGGTTTAACTTCCAGGCCTTTGATTGTTTTAGTTGCTCTTCTTTGAACTTTTAGAATAGATGGGACCTCTAGTCCGGCCCCCTTGTTCAAGCAGGAGACCCCATTTCAGACAAGTGGCTGTCCAGTCTCTCCTTAAAAACCTCCAGAAGAGACTGGACAGACCCTTGTCTGAAACGGTCTAGGCAGGGTCTCCAGCTTGAGCAAGGAAGCTGGACTAGAAGACCTCCAAGGTCCCTCCCAGCTCTATTCTGATTGATTGATTGAAATGGTCTCTAGGATCTCCTGCTTGAGGCAAGGGGGCTGGACTAGAAAACCTCCAGTCCCTTCTATTCTGATTGATTGATTAATTGGAATGGTCAATGGAGGAGGAGATCTCCAAGGTCCCTCCCAGTTCTATTCTGATTGATTGATTAAAATGACTCTAGGGTCTCCTCAAGCAGGAGCTGGTGGGGCTGGACTAGATGACCTCCAAGGTCCCTCCCAGCTCTATTCTGATTGATTGATTGGTTGGAATGGTCAATGGAGGAGGTCCCTCCCAGCTCCAAGGTCCCTCCAAGCTCTGATTGATTGACTGAAATGATTCTAGGGGGGGCTGGACTAGATGACCTCCAAGGTCCCTCCCAGCTCTGATTGATTGATTGATTGATTGAAATGGTCTAGGATCCCGTGCTTGAGGCAAGGGGGCTGGACTAGATGACCTCCAAGGTCCCTTTCCAGCTCTACTGATTGATTGATTGACTGATTGGAATGGTCAATGGAGTAGAAGCCCTGCCAAAGTACCTCCCAGTTCTATTCTGATTGATTGATTGATTGATTGATGACTGATTGACATGGTCTAGGTCCCCTGCTTGAGGCAAGGGGGGGGGCTGGACTAGATGACCTCCAAGGCCCCTCCCAGCTCTACTGATTGGTTGATTGACTGATTGGAATGGTCAATGGGAGTAGAAGCCCTGCCAAGGTCCCTCCCAGTTCTATTCTGATTGACTGATTGGTTGACTGATTGATTGACATGGTCTAGGATCCCCTGCTTGAGGCAAGGGGGGGGCTGGACTAGATGACCTCCAAGGTTCCTCCCAGCTCTACTGATTGGTTGATTGACTGATTGGAATGATCAATGGAGTAGAAGCCCTGCCAAGGTCCCTCCCAGTTCTATTCTGATTGACTGGTTGATTGACTGATTGATTGACATGGTCTAGGATCCCCTGCTTGAGGCAAGGGGGCTGGACTAGAAGACCTCCAAGGTCCCTTCTATTCTGATTGATTGATTATTGGAATGGTCAATGGAGGAGGAGATCTCCAAGGTCCCTCCCAGTTCTATTCTGATTGATTGATTGATTAAAATGACTCTCGGGTCCTCAAGCAGGAGCTGGTGGGGCTGGACTAGATGACCTCCAAGATCCCTCCCAGCTCTATTCTGATTGATTGATTGGTTGGAATGGTCAATGGAGGAGGTCCCTCCCAGCTCCAAGGTCCCTCCAAGCTCTGATTGATTGACTGAAATGATTCTAGGGGGGGCTGGACTAGATGACCTCCAAGGTCCCTCCCAGCTCTGATTGATTGATTGATTGATTGAAATGGTCTAGGATCCCCTGCTTGAGGCAAGGGGGCTGGACTAGATGACCTCCAAGGTCCCTTTCCAGCTCTACTGATTGATTGATTGACTGATTGGAATGGTCAATGGAGTAGAAGCCCTGCCAAAGTACCTCCCAGTTCTATTCTGATTGATTGATTGATTGATTGACTGATTGATTGACATGGTCTAGGATCTCCTGCTTGAGGCAAGGGGGGCTGGACTAGATGACCTCCAAGGCCCCTCCCAGCTCTACTGATTGGTTGATTGACTGATTGGAATGGTCAATGGGAGTAGAAGCCCTGCCAAGGTCCCTCCCAGTTCTATTCTGATTGACTGATTGATTGACATGGTCTAGGATCCCCTGCTTGAGGCAAAGTGGGGCTGGACTAGACGACCTCCAAGGTCCCTTTCCAGCTCTAATTCTACGATTGACTGATCAGTTTTCCGCGGCCAGCCCTCTTTATCCTCCTCCTCCTCCTCCTCCTCCCGGCTGCTAATGCTGCCTTATGTGCTCTTGCTTTTTCCCAGAGAAGCCCCCTCACCCAGCCCCAGCCGCCCCTCCCCCCCCCCCGGCTGCACCTTCTCGAGCGGGGCGGGTCTCTGGACGGCCAGCGAGCGGGCGAGCGACAGCACCGTGTTGAAGTAGAAGCCCCGCGACGAAGCCGGGCTGCCTTGCCTCTCGGAGCGCGCGGCGGTGACGGCGGCCGCGGTGGCAGCCGCCGCGGTCGCCACGGCCAGCGCCGACATCTTGGTTGGAGCTGAGGGGAGACAGAGAAGCCGCCTCAGCAAGACGCCACGCCCCTCACGCCGGGCCACGCCCCTCACGCTCCTCACGCAAGGACGGGAGAGAGCGGCGGCCGGCTCTTCTCGCGATACCTGCCGCCGAGATGGCTCCGGCGCAGGCGCGCTAGCCTTTTTTTGGTTTGTTAACCCCGCCCCCTCCGCAAGAGCTGTAGCTCCGCCCCCCTCCCTCTAATCACGGGATGGTTCGACCCGGCGGCCTTGTCCGTGACCGGAAGTGAGGCAGAGGTCGAGTAGCCCGTGGGTGGCGCCTGAGGGAAACTCCCGGGTGGGCGGTTAATCGCCGGCTTTGTCTCTTCGGAGAAGGCGACGACGTTGGCTTTCTTCAACGGTCTGCCTTTCCCCCCCCTTTCTGGCGCTTCGGGGGTGGGGGGGGAGGTGAGGTTCCACAACACCCCTGCGAGGTAGGCTGGGCTGAGGGGGAAGGGGGCGGCTGAGGTGGCGTCGCGCTTGTTTATCCTGCCAGTGGGGTGGTGGTGGGAGGCGGATTTGTTAAAAAAAAAAAAAAAATTAGACGTTTTAATCCTATCCTAGTACAGGTCTCCTGCGTGAGCAGGGAGGGGGCTGGACTAGATGACCTCCAGGGTCCCTTCCAGTTCTGTTACTGTTATGGTGGCTCTATCCAATGTATAGACTTTGTTTCTTTGGCCCTTCTCGGAGTGGGACGGGGTGTCTCTGAGCGAGGCCTCACAACGGCCCCGTGAGGTAGGCTGGGCTGAGATAGATGACCTCAAGAGCCCCTCCTGGATGGGCTTCCCTGACAGAATGAAGGTTGAGAATTGGGGGGGGGGGGTGTCCCCAGTTTTTATGTCCCCCCATTACCGACTAGCGTCTTCCCCAACTGAGTGATTTCCACTAAAGGTGGGACTACAGTGCCCATCATCCGCAGCTAATCTGGCCCAGGTAACCTGGCTGCCTTCGGGTGTGTTGTGTTCCCATTTGTTTAAAAACATTTTATATAGCTGCCCATTTCTCAGCCAATTCAGGGCTAATCCCAATCAAAAAATGTATATATATATATATATATATTTTATATATATACAGTAATATATATATTACTGCAAAAGACCCCTCACATAAGCCTGATGATGGCAGATGAGATTCTGTCAAAACGTCGCTTCTACCCTTTTAGGGATATGTTCACAATTACACGGGAAGAAACCCAAAGTATTAACTGTACATATATATATATATATATATATAAATAAATAAATAAATAAATAAATTTTTTGATTGGGATTAGCCCTGAATTGGCTGAGAAATGGGCAGCTATATAAAATGTTTTTAAACAAATGGGAACACAACACACCCGAAGGCAGCCGGGTTACCTGGGCCAGATTAGCTGCGGATGATGGGCACTGTAGTCCCACCTTTAGTGGAAATCACTCAGTTGGGGAAGACCCATATAAAACCCATATAAAATCATTTGAAAAGCTATAAAATTCAACCGGTTAAAACATAAAAGATTAGAAACAATAAAAAAAATCTGGCTCCAGTCGCCTCCAGCCAAGATTTAGTAAATAAATCAAATATGCTGTCATCTAATCTCTCAATGCTGGGGGGAGGGGAGGACAGGTATTTAACGCTTTAGGAAAGAACCTGCCATTTGTTTATGATATTTATTTATAATCTTTATTTATAATATTTATATAGCCGTTTATACCGCATGAACATGACTCTAGGCAGCATACCATAAAGTGGTTAAATCAAGAAACAAAGTTAAACCCACACTAATACAATAGTAATGATTAATTTTATTAACGTGTGTTCAACTTTTATAATAATAAAAGATATAATATTAATATAATATTAATATAATAATATAACATAATATATAAGTGTAATTAAGTGTTACTGAGTGTTTTTCTTGTGGCTCAGAAGGTTAATTCAACTGCCTAACATGCAGGAAGCCCAAGTTTGAATCCGAGTAAGGGTATGGCTAGCTGATGAGAGCTAAAAAGCTTGAAATAGATCTATACTAGTCTCCCTTTATTTCTTTATCAGCAAAATATAAATTTGATATTATATAATATATATATTATAAAAAATAATAAAAATTATTAGGCAAACAGATCAATATTCTGCATATAGTTCTGTATAACACTTTTGTGGGTTTCCCCTTTCTCTTAGAGCCCCAAGCCTGCTTGGGGAAAAAATAAAATAAAACATGTTTTCAGGGATTTCTTAATGCTAGAAAGGGTCAAGGCTGATCTCACCTCGGGGAAACATTTGGCCTCGTGGCTTGGCAATAACAATAAATTGAAATAATAGTAGAATTGGGTCAAATTAACAACCGTTTTGGGGTTTGTGTATTTTAAAAAATACCCTTTGAAGCAGGAACAAGGTTAAATAGTTTCGGGAAGTGGACAAGCTTCTTTTACGGAAGTGACATTGCCTTAGAGATGAAAAGAATATTTTGTTTCGGATGTTCTGCAATTATAACCCTAACTCAGTTGGAAAAGGGTTACAGAAGATGGTTCTGTAATCTGGGCAGGAATCGATAGCGATCCAAGCTGGGAAAAGATATGAAAGTCAGATTAAGTCACTTTGAGTCAATTAAAATCAAAGGAGATAAACAAGATACATTCTTGAAACACTGCTGAAAGGTACGGTCCAGTTCCTTAAATTATTCTGAAAGAGTTGATGATTAAATGCACAGTCGTTCCAAGGAATTATGTGGCTTCCTCTGTCAATAAGTGCTCATGTGTTTGTCATTTGGTGCCTTGCTACAGAGGTTTATACAATACTGTGGTCAACAGTATTCACTATTTCATTAAGTAGTAAAACATTTACTATTTATTGAAATGGTAATAAATGTGGAATGTTGATAACTTTGCAAAATGGGATGTTATTTTTCATGGGAAAAGAGCCTGCTTTAAGCTGTATAAGTGTGGTTCTGTCAATATGCTCTGATGATAGTTTACTTATGTAAAAAAAAACTTGTGCTTTTTTCAGTTAATTTTAAGAGTAGGGAAAATGTCAAATTTTGAACAACAAACCTTTCTTCGCGTTGGGACTGAAAACTCAGACTTGTCACTGAAATATTATATTTCAGTGAGAGATCTAAAATGAGATATTGTGAACGGGCAGTAAATTGTTCATAGGTTGTTTTTTTATTGTTGTGCTGGTTTTTTTTTTTCTTTTCCTATTTTAGATGCCAATCTATTGACTAAGATATTCTGGGTCTTGACTCATTCAATAAGAGGCAACTAATTATTTGGCTGCCTAGAACAGAATGTCTTGGGCCTTCCCTAAGAATGGCATTGGATTTGACTTTTTCTATTTCCAAGGTGACTTTGGCTACACTAGTTGCAAAAAAACCTGCCCACAAAGATGCCCGGAAAGGTGAATTGTCTGTTAGAGAGAACAGCAGGACTTGTGACTCAGCTGGTACACTTTGAATTTCCTGAAATTGTGGTTTTTGTTTTTCATAACCGGATAACCGATTTCTCTTTGGGCAAATTAGAAGATAGATGGAACACAACTACCCTATGCCTTTAATTGTTTGCTGTCCTTGTGTTGTGGCCCACCAGTGGCCTGTGCAGGTGGTAGCTGATTCAGACAGCAAGGAGGCTGGTGTGATTCACCAGCAGCCTGTGCAGCTGGCACCCGAGTCAGACAATGAGGAGGCTGGAGAAGATTTGGTGCCAGAGGCGGGGGTTCAGCCAGGGCCTTCAGAACCTCCAGAAGCTCCCATAAGGGAAGAGGAAGAAGAGGAGGAGCCTCTTCTCAATGCACGGGCGTGCAGAGCTGCCAAAAGGGAGGAATGGCTCTTCACGAGGAGGTCTCCTCGAGAGTAAGGCTTGGGGCTAATTGGCCACTCCCTTAGCCTATTTAAGGAATGACGACGACTGAGGCAATTTGCAGAAAACAACTTCGTTCATATTCCTTCACGTATTGACTCCAGAAACGTCTGATCGGCTCTTGCTTCTCTCTTGTCATTTTTCCTGCAAATTGCTTCTGGGCATTCTGCCAACCACAGTAAGCTTACGATTATCTGAAAGACTGTGTCTCAGAATTGAGTTATTATTCCTTGGACTCTCGTCGGCTGTTAATGAAGTTAAATTTAACAGCCCTTGTTCAAAAAAGACAGATTTAAACTGTACTTGTGTTTGAACAACTACTAAAAAAGCTCATTAGTAGTCCTTAATTATTAAATTAAGGTTTGTACGGACTTTGTGTGTGCTGCATTCTTTGTGGTCCGTAGCTGGGGCAGAACACCTTGGAAGTTTTCACAGAAGTCTGCATTCAAGCAATTGGATGCTCTGTTTAAGTTGATCAGATTTCTATACTGCCCAACTCGCCTAAGTGACACTGGATGGTTTACAGATAGTCCTCGATTTACGACCACCATTGAGCCCACCATTTCTGTTGTGAACAGCCAAACAGTTGTTAAATGAATTTTGCCCCATTTAATGACCTTTTTTGGCCACAGTTGTTAAGCAAATCACTGCAGTCGTTAAGTGAATCTGGCTTCCCCTATTGACTTTGCTTGTCAGAAGCCAGCTAGGAAGATTACATATGGCGGCCACCTGATTCTGGGATGCTGCAACCATCGGTAAATACATGCCGATCACCCAAGTGCCCAAATTTTGATCATGTGACCATAGGAATGCTGCAATGGTCATAAGTCACTTTTTTCAGTGCCGTTGTAACTTCAAACAGTTTCTAAATGAATGGTTTTATTCGAGGACTATCTGTGTGACTAAATGTAAATACGTTTCGTGATGAAAATTTGTTTCTCTTGCAGAGTTTGGCTCTTCAGCACATCGCCACCGATCCTTACAGGACTCCCTCTTCGTCTGGACAACACACCGCTTGATTCTGTCCTTGTAAACCTAGATTATAGATAGAAGCGATCTGAACTTGGGGGCTGCAGCGATGTCGACTTTCCCCAAAAGTTGCAATCCTTTTGACGATGACGAGGATGACTTCAAGCCGGTCAAGTGGAACGAAGGAGATGAGCCTCCAAGAGAAGGTCCAGACAGACAAAGATATTTACAACAGGAAGTCATGAGGCTCTCGAAATCGACTCTAGATAGCACCAATAAGTCACTGTCTCTCATTTATGAGTCTGAACACGTGGGAGTCGCTGCATCAGAGGTAAACAAGAATCTCGAAAACATATTTTTCAGCGTTTGCATGCTATGTAAGTAAGGCGAACAAGGTAATATCAGAGGGCTGGCGCGGTTACCTGGTTAGCTAATGAAACACCTGCAAGAAAACCAAGTTCAGAGAAGGATTCACAGTCCTCCTCCTCCTCGCTCCTTCTCCACTCCACAAATCCCCACTCCCTTCTAGCACTAATGATATTACCTAGTTGGGTAATGAAACGTCTGCAAGAAAACCACCAAGCTCAGAGAGTACCAGCGACCCCCCCCTCCCCATGGTTCAACAATCCTGAGCTACAAATATTGTGAACTATTGGTAATAATTATATTTCATATTGCCAGTGCTTTAGCTTAACAAAGAGAAAGCCACAGTCCCTTTTGCATGAAATGTGTTTCATTGAGGAATTAAAAATACCAGCATCCCTTTTGCCAGTTTGTATGTTTGATTTGTTTTGTTTTGTTTGAAACACCATGTTACTTTTGGCAGGAACTTGTGCGGCAAGGGGAAGTCCTGAAGCGTTCTGAACGCATGGTGGATAAGATGGAACAAGATTTAAAGACGAGTCAGAAACACATCAATAGCATTAAGAGCGTCTTTGGGGGCTTCGTCAATTACTTCAAAGCCAAGCCGCAAGACCTCAAAGTTGAGCAGAATGGAGCCTCCGAATATCAAGGAAGCAACAGGTAAGACAAATTGAGGTTTTCTTCTAAGGAAGCAGGAAGTGGGTGGGCATCTGAGTTCATCCATGCCCAAGTGACATTCGGCTTGAATTTATTGTTAAGAGTTTTATCCCACCTTTATTACTTTTATGATTCAAGGTGGCAAACGATACCATAATACTCCTTCCTCTTTCCCCACAAAAATAATCCTGTAAAGTTGGTTCGGCTGAGAGAGAATGACTGGCCCAAAGTCACCCAGCTGGCTTTCATGTTCTAAAGCGGAACTAGAAGTCACAGTCTCCTGGTGATTCACACAAAGTCACCCAGTCAAGTTACATGCCTAAAGTGGGACTAGAACTTCCAGTCTCCTGGCGATTGGCGAAAGTCACCCATCCAGCTTTCATAGCTAAAGTGGGGCTAGAACTCCCAGTCTCCTAGCGATTGGCCGAAAGTCACCCATCCAGCTTTCATAGCTAAAGTGGGACTAGAACTCCCAGTCTCATAGCGATTGGCCGAAAGTCACCCCACCAGCTTTCATACCTAAAGTGGGACTAGAAATCCCAGTCTCCTAGCGATTGGCTGAAAGTCACCCATCCAGCTTTCATAGCTAAAGTGGGACTAGAACTCCCAGTCTCATAGCGATTGGCCGAAAGTCACCCAACCAGCTTTCATACCTAAAAGTGGGACTAGAAATCCCAGTCTCCTAGCGATTGGCTGAAAGTCATCCAACCAGCTTTCATACCTAAGGTGGGATTAGAAATCCCAGTCTCCTGGCGATTGGCCGAAAGTCATCCAACCAGCTTTCATACCTAAGGTGGGACTAGAAGTCACAGTCTCCTAGCGATTGCCGAAAAGTCACCCAGTTGGTTTTCGTGCTAAAGGCAGGCCTAGGTTTCTCCGCCAGCACATTAACCACTATATGTCAGACTTATATATGGGATCTTTCTTTCTGAAAGAGGGTGAGAAAATAAAACAGCCATCTTCAGTGTGCAGACTTTCCAATAATTATCTGTGGGTTTGTGGTTAAACCCAAGAGGATGTTCTCAGCCTGAGCGGCTGCTTTAACCATACCCACAGTAAATAAAACATTTAATACGGAAATATAGCAGATAGGGGAAATTTGTTTTTTCTAACAGTGTTTCTCTACCTTGGCAACTTTGAGATAGGTGGACTCCAACTCCCAGAATTCCACAGCCAGCTTAAAGTCCACACACCCTTAAAGTTACCAAGGTTGAGAGACATTGATAACACAAAGCTTATTTCTGTTGGGAAGCAAGTGGAGCTGTAAATGCTGAATGTGGGAAATTCCCTTTTTTGCCCTCTGTCTAGATTAAAAGAAGCATTATCCGTCAGCAAAGAGCAGGAGTCCAAGTACCAGGAGACGCATCCCAATTTACGGAAGTTGGACAACTCAGGTTTGCTTGATCTTGTTTGGCTCTCTACATTTTATACAACTTGAACATTGTCATCGTTATTTTGGGCAGCAGTACAAGACCACCTGTGTTTATTAATCTGAAAATAAGGTAAAAGGTAAAGGTTCCCCTTGCACATATGTGCTAGTCATTCCCGACTCTAGGGGACGGTGCTTATCTCCATTTCAAAGCTGAAGAACCAGCGCTGTCCAAAGACGTCTCTGTGGTCATGTGGCCGGCATGACTCAACGCCAAAGGCGCACGGAATGCTGTTCCCTTCCCACCAAAGGTGGTCCTTATTTTTCTACTTGCATTGGTTTTTTACGTGTTTTTGAACTGCTAGGTTGGCAGAAGCTGGGACAAGTAATGGGAGCTCACCCCCCTACGCGGCACTAGCTATTTGAACCACTGAACTGCCGACCTTTCGATCAACAAGCTCAGCTTCTTAGCCACTGAGCCACCGCGGCAGTGGCTACCGAATTTTTTGGAGTATAAAACGAACCTTTTTCCCCCCTAAAAGAGAGTGGAAATGTTGGTGCGTCTTATACGACGCATACAGCCATTTTTGGCCGCCTCAAGCCCCGCCCTGCTCGTTTCATTTTTGCGAAAAACAGGGCCATTTTTCGCCCATTTTTTTTTTTTTTTGCAAAAATAGGCCTGTTTTTGCCCTCCCCCAGGAGCACTCTGCAGGCCTCCCAAACCCTCTGCGTATCTCATTTTTTGCAAAAACGGGGGGGAAATGGGCCGTTTTTCGCACATTTTGCAAAAAATGGGGCGCGCAGAGGGTTTGGGAGGCCTGCAGAGTGCTCCTGAGGGCCAGGGAGGGCAAAAACTTTTTTTTTTCTTGCTTACCTCTTCGAAATCTTGGTGCGTCTTATACACCGGTGCGTTTTATAGGCCAAAAAATGCGGTAAGTCAGAAAATAATCTTGCTTAATTTGGAGGGGAATGCATGCTAGTCTTATACAAGCTAGGCCCTTGGATATGACTTAGTTTTTAAAAGGGATATCCTTGAACCTTAAGCTGGGTGTCTAAAGAACTGTCATTTTCTTCTTCCTTTCCAGACTTCAGTTCCAGTGGAAGTAGTTCAAACAACCCAGCCCAGTCTGATCATTACCCCAGGAACCAGCACCTCCGTGCTTACCACCAGAAAATTGATAGCAACTTAGGTGAGTTACGATAGCCCGTGTTCCCCAGTGTTAATCTTAGTTGTTTGCTCGTCTTATGATCACAACTGAGCCCCAAATTTCCATTATTGCTAAAACAACACTGCTAAGTGAGTTTTTCCCAACTTTAGGACCTTTCTTGCCACGTTTGTTAAGTGGATCACTGCAGTTGTTAAGGTAGTAGTAACAGGGTTGTAAAGTGAACCCGGCTTCCCTGTTCACTTTGCCTGTCAGAAGGTCGCAAAAAAGGGGATCGCATGACTTTGGAATGCTGCACGTATGTTATAAATACATGCCAGTTGCCAAGCATCTGAATTTTGATCCCATGACCATGGGGATGCTGCAACGATCGTTAAGTGTGAAAAATGGTCATGGGTCACTTTTTTTTCAGTGCCGTTGTAACTTCGAACGATCCCTAATCAAATGGTTGTAAGTTGAGGATCACCTGTATTAAGCCTTCTAGATTTTTGAGCATTCTTCCTTTAAGAAGAGAATGGTCTTGTTCAAGGGTGGGCTTCAAAAATTTTAGCAAGGGGTTCTCTGCCCCTTGCTGGGTGGACGTGGCCATGGTGGGGGTGGCCTAGTCGGCCTCCTGCATCACGGCGGGAGGCATTTTTGCCCTCCCCAGGCTCCAGAGGCTTTCCTTGAGCCTCTGGGAGGGCAAAAACGGCCTCCCCAGGTTCTGGAGGCCCTCTGGAGGCCGTAAACGTGACTGTTTACAGCCTTCCTGAACTTCTGGTAGGCCCGTTGTTTGGCCTCCACACGCGCCCTGCACTTACCTGCATCCAAAACGGGCCACGTGGGGACTCCTGGGAGGGGCAAGGCAGGGTGGGCGGGGCCAGCCAGCCAGGAGTGGGATTTGGGGATTCTCCGAACTGCACCGAATCTTAGCTAGAGGTTCTCCCGAACCGCTGCGAACTCCCAACAGCCGTCCCCTGGTCTTGTTCCTATTTCCTAGCAGAGGAGGAATTGGGACAAAGCTACTAGCATGATTGTCTTTCCCAGCAGACAATATTTAGGAAAATCAAGTTAATACTTTGCACAAACCATAGTTAATATTAAGCATGTATTTCTGGAGCAACCCACAATGACCTGACTTGCAACGTGATGGTTTATTGACCCCGGTAGTTACAGTTACACAGTGCAAATAGCTGAAACCTGAAACACCCCATTTTGGCTTAATGCAGGGGTGAAATTCGCCCCGCTGGGTCAAATCCTCAAATCCTCTTTTAATTTAACCAAGGGAACCTCCTGAATAGTCTTGGATACAAACTGCCTCACAAACACCTCTGTGTTTGTCTACCTTTTGTGTTGCTAATGTTACGCTTTTGTGTGTGTGTGTGATCTTTGCAGATGACATGTCCACCGGGCTGGGCCGACTGAAAAATCTCGCTCTTGGCTTGCAAACCGAAATAGATGATCAGGATGAGATCCTGAATCGCCTCACCGGGAAAGTGGACACCTTGGACATCAACATCAAAAGCACAGACAAGCGAATCAAGGAGGAGCTTTAAAGGAATCCTGGGGCGTCTCTCACCTCATGTTTATAAACTCAATATATTTTATGCAGCTGGGGGGGCCTTTTCTTGCCCCAGCTGCATTGGGAAAGCGCTAGAGAAAAGAGGTTGCTAGTCCATCTTGCTGTGTGATTAAAAGTGTGAATAGTCTTAAGTGCAATCTGAGAAATTTAAGCTACTTTCTTTCGCGTGTAATTCATAAAAGCACTCTGAAGTGCTGCTGGAACTTCTGATTTTGGAGGAAACATCTCAATTCTGGACAATGATTGGAAAAGACGATTATACCCTGCCTTTCGGTATTCCTTTCGCCTTAATTGTAGCAGGTACGTGCATTGCCTCTTTCACTTCCTGCACATGTATACATTTTTATAAAAGGCTAGCTACATATAGTTGAACAACAGTATAAGTGCAAAGTTCGCCGTACATTTCAAAGCTGGGTTGTGACAAGATGCTTCTGGTGCATGCGATGAAAACCTCACCCTGACTCCAAACTTAAGCTACACCAATAAAGCAGTCATTATCAACTCAATGTTTATTACAGTCAAAGACCAGAGCAAGTTAAAAACACTTGAGGAATATCCCGTTAAAAATTCTAGGACGAAATAACAACAAATCTATATTTAATCTATATTAAAATTCTAGAACAAAATAATAACAGATCTATATTAAGAATCACAACTTGGCATCCAATCTAGAATTTTTAACGGGATATTCCTTTTCACTTGCTCCGGTCTTTGACTGGCATAAACTTTGACTTGAAGCAGTCATTGTGGGGGTTGGTATGTTTGTGTCAGTCTCCAAAGTACTTGCCTACTTGATTTGTGCCAGTACAATTAAACCCAAACTCAGAAAGAAAGAAAAAAAAAAGATTTAGATGAAGGCATGTCTCCAAGACTTAAAAGCTTCAGGATGCTACTTTGGGTAGGAATGCTTCAATTCAAAATAATGCCTTTTGTGGTTTTCTCTCAGCAACGCTTCTCTGGCCTGTAGCTGTTGAGCCTTGTTGACTCAATATCTTTTACAAGGCCGTTACTGCTCCAGGTCTATTTTAAAAATAATATTGGAGAAGAAACTACATGGGGGAGGCACTCTAAATTTCCACTCAACTGGTTCCAACGGACCTCTTTCAACACAGTTAAATTTCACCCATGAGATCTTGTCTCGTGCATCTGTGCCCAGATGAACTTGTGATTGTTTGATTTGCGTCTTCCCTGATGAATGAAAGGTCCATTCCTGAAAATAGTCTTTGTCCTTATGGGTGATATTTTATTCCTGGAATGTCACTTCTCTTTTGTGTGAGTGTGTTAAATTCTACATAATCTGTCTATACTTGATAGCAAAATACCAATTTTCTTGTAAGTGTGTCTTCAGTAAATCATTACAGTGAGGAATTTTGGAAACAGCATTCATTAAAACAATTGTTTCTCTCCCGTGTTGCTATTTATTAGATACCAGCTGGAATCTTGGGCGTTTCTATGTCGATATCTCTTCAAATTGACTTTGGCTTTAATTCCTAATTCCTTGGCAGTTTGGCAGAAGCCAATTATGGCAATGCCTAAGCACATCAAATAATTACCGTAGTTCTTTAATCCACTTCTGTTTGTAAGCCAAGATAAAATTTAAACAGCTAATAACACTGCCACAATCGTGAGAAATACCTTTGCCTTCCGTCAAAGCATTTTATTTGGGCACAGTGAAGGCAGTTTTTCCAGTTGAGATTATTTCTTCCTCCGGATCTTGTTCAGTTAGCTTTATTGATTAGCCTATAGGCCATATCAAAGCACAAGGTGCAAGACACACACAACCAATAAAATCTTATACAAACAATTTAAAATAAAAGAAGGGTAAAATACAATAGTGGGATAAGATACAATATAATCTGATACATAAATATATAAAATAGAGTAAAATGACATACAATTATATTTCAGTGTCACCCAATCTACCCCAATCAGTCCCATGTACGCAGATCTCAACCAAACCATTTTGTTTAAGTACTGTGCTGTGTTAAATGTTATTTTCAAGTTCTGGCCATACATAAAGTAAGTTGATTTGCACGCTGATGGTTTTAACATTGAAATATTACATTCAACTAGGGGAAGAGAACGCATTTATCCTATTCTCCTTGTTCCCTTCCCGTGGAGCTAATTTAAACCTTAAAATGTTTAATAAAGAAGACTGCATAAAAGTTTTGAGGTGCACATGAAAAATAGCTGTGGATGATCCATTTGGCTGAAATAGTGAAGATACTCGCTTCTCGTGTTTTTCTAGGAAAGCAGCTTTTCATGGAGAAACTTTGGGAAGGCACCCTGGTGCTCTGTTTGCCCACTGTGGTGGGGATGCAATGTTTTTGAAAATATCAAGGATTGTGATAATTAAAGGATTTTGGGATTTCTTAAGAGTTGCTTGGGGCGGTTGCCAAGAAGCAAAGAAGATATTTTTCATTTGTGTTGCTTTTGCTTTAGGCAAAATAATCCCCCCACTGTAACTTTCACGCTTATGTTAGCTACACCTTAAACATGATTTCAATATGCCTCTTCTTTCTGATGTCATCTCCACGCACTTCTGTCTTATCTAATTGAGAAAGTCAGCTTGAGCCAAGTATTGGGGTATGTACTTTATTGAGCTCTTCGGTGGGCTAACTTTCTAAATTAAATATATCTTTATGGTTTCTTCAGGCATTTGGCATTTTCTCCTAACTAAACAAAACAAATTTTTGCAGAGGGAATTTGTCTTTCTCTAACCAAATATTTTTATTCTTGTAACCAGCCCTTCTTCGAGTTCTCTCAAGGGTGTGAAAAAGATTTATATGTAGCTGTTTCTTTATTTTTCACGGTGTGATGGCATCGCTATAGAGCAGTGTTGGCAAACCTTTTCGGCACCAAGTGCCTAAATGGGAGCGAGCGCGCACACACGGGGGAGTGCCGGAAACCAGTTGAGCAGCTGCCTGGCGCACGAATTTCAATCGCGTGACAATGGAGAGGCTGCAACAGTCCTCAGTGTGTGTGTGGGGGGGGGGGGGGAAACCCCAGTCATCAGTACCTTTTTTCCAGTGCCCTTCTAATAGTCACTAAGTGAATGGTTGTAAGTCAAGAACTACCTATAGATCCCCAACTTTGTGTATCCCGAATGAATAGAATAGAATAGAATAGAATAGAATAGAATAGAATAGAACAGAACAGAACAGAACAGAACAGAACAGAACAGAACAGAACAGAACAGAACATATGGAATGGAATGGAATAGAAATAAGGAATAGAATAGAATAGAATAGAATTAGAACAGAATAGGAATAGAATAGGAATAGAATAGAATAGAAATAAGGAATAGAATAGAAAATATGGAATGGAATAGAATGCAGAATAGTATAGAATAAGAACAGGAAGGGACCTTGGAGGTCTTCTAGTCCAACCCCCTGCTTAGGCAGGAAACCCTACACCACTTCAGACAAATGATTATCCAACATCTTCTTAAAAACTTCCAGTGTTGGAGCATTCACAACTTCTGGAGGCAAGTTGTTCCACTGATGAATTGTTCTCACTGTCAGGAAATTTCTCCTTAGTTCCAGGTTGCTTCTCTCCTTGATGAGTTTCCACCCATTGCTTCTTGTCCTGCACTCAGGTGCTTTGGAGAATAGCTTGACTCCCTCTTCTTTGGGGCAGCCCCTGAGATATTGGAAGACTGCTATCATGTCTCCCCTAGTCCTCCTTTTCATTAAACTAAGCATACCCAGTTCCTGCAACCGTTCTTCATATGTTTCAGCCTCCAGTCCCTTAATCATCCTGGTTGCTCTTCTCTGCACTCTTTCTAGAATTGGTGTGGGTGATAGCAGGATTTGACACCAGGCCCTGCATGGCTTTACACTTAAATAAATAAATACCCCCAAACCGTTGGATGAAGTCACTGCTGTTTCCTTCGCAGCTGTTGCTTTGAAAGAGCTGGTGGGTTGGCACTCTTTCCCATCTGCCAAGCTAACTAGGCCACAAAAATATAGTTTGCGTGCGCGCCCAGGCCACAAAGCCCTGGCAATGTGACGATGCGCTTGCAACTTTTCCCAAGAGCCGGGACCATGGAGACGGAGTTGGCAGCCGTCCGTGCCCTTTTAAACCAGGGAGGGGGGCCCTCCAAACCGCAAACGGTCCCTCTGCATCAATGGCCCATTGAAAGAAAGGGAAGTGGTGGTAGTGAAAGGGGGGAGGAATGCTCAAATGAGGGACTGTGTCCTCTGGGTAACCTGGCAGAAGGCATGGCGAGGAGCTTCTCTGTAGAAAACAACTCGGATGGTGGCCAGCATCTGAGCAAGGGGCTTCGTTCCTAGGTTAAATAGATGGATAGATATCGATACGGAGTAGGTCAGAAAGAGGAAGAGATAGATAGATAGATAGATAACTAGATAGATAGATAGATAGATAGATAGATAGATAGATAGATAGATAGATGATAGAGACATGATAGATGATAGAGACATGATATAGAGACATGATAGAGACTAGATAGAGATAAAGATAGATAGAGACTAGATAGAGATAGATAGGTAGAGAGAGAGAAGAGAGAGACATGATATAGATGATAGACATGATAGAGGTAGATGATAGAGACCAAATAGAGAGACAGATAGACATGATAGATATATAGAGACAGATAGAGACATAGGTAGATGATAGATAGATAGATAGATAAACATGATAGGTAGAGACAGATGATAGACAGGCATGATAGAGACAGAGACATGATAGACATGATAGTAGATAAAGACAGATGATAGAGACATGATGGACTAATAGATAGATAGATAGATAGATAGATAGATAGATAGATAGACAGACAGACAGACAGACAGACAGACATGATAGGTAGATGATAGAGGCATGATAGAGACAGATGATAGACATGATAGAGACAGGCATGATAGAGACAGACATGATAGAGACAGATAGATGATAGAGACATGGACTAGATAGATAGATAGATAGATAGATATAAAATAACATAAAAATAAATAAAAATTGATAGATAAGGTATGGAGGGAGAGATAGACATGGATAGATAGTTAAAGATGGATAGATAAGATTAAGAGATGTGGATAGATGGAGTAGGTAAGAAAAGAGATGGATAGATAGGTGGGCGAATAGGTCAGAAAGAGGACGAGAAGGAGATACGGATAAATAAGAAAACGGATAGATAAGAAAAGGGATAGAGAGAGACAAATTGGATAGTTAAGAAAGAGATGGATAGAGAAGAGTAGATAGAGATGGATAGATGGAGTGGGTAAGAGAAGAGAATGGCTGGATAAATATTTTTAGGTAAGAGAGAAGGTAGATTACTTACTGATATCCCGCCTTTATTATTTGTATAAACTCCAGACGGTGAACACATCTAATACTCCTTCCTCGTATTTTCTCCACAACAACCCTGTGAGGAAGGCTTGATTGAGAGGAAAGAACTGGCCTAAAGTCATCCCATCGATTTTCATGCCTATGGTGGGACTGGAACTCGCCGTCTCCCGATGATCAGCCCAAAGTCACCCAGCCGGCTTTCATGCATAAGGTGGGGACCAGAACTCGCAAACCTGAAGTCAAATCTAAGCCACAGTTGTGGTTTCACTTAGCCACGGCTTCGCTCGGCAGCCGAGTTGCCAATCCCCGTTGTGGTTGCCGACTGTGAACCCACAGCCAACAAAACACAAACCATCCACCCACGTAGCAGTAAGATAAGTGAATGCAATCCCGAGGTCAATCATGTGTGATAGTTGTTGGCATACCGCCACAGCAGCGCTTCGCTCCACTACGGGTAAATAACACACGTTTCCCAAATATTTATTTTAGAGCCGATTGATGCGTTCACAAAAGACGCAGAGGATGCGATGCTGCCTATTTCAGTCTCCACATGTCTCCCGTGGCATTGGCAGACCTAACAGCGGTTTGCTGAAGAACCCTTGTTTTTGGGTGTTTTCATACATGGCACTGTAGCTTGAGAGGCATTGAAAAAAAAGGGGGAAAAAAACATATTTAGGACATAAAAACACTAGGAAGGGTCCAGCCACCTGTCCTTTTGCAATTGAGATAATAAAGAGATTAGGTGACTATTGGGCATCAACCTGTCCAGGTGGAATGCTTGGTGGGAGAAGAAGAAGAAGAAGAAGAAGAAGAAGAAGAAGAAGAAGAAGAAGAGGAAGAGGAAGAGGAAGAGGAAGAGGAAGAGGAAGAGGAAGAAGAAGAACAGCAGCAACAACATGGTCCTTGGTACTCTCTGAGCTAGGTAGTTTTCTTGAAGATGTTTTGTGACCCAACTGGGTAACAACAGTTCTAGAAGGGGAGTGGAGTTTACCGGGAGGAGGAGAAGGAGAGGAAGAAAAAAAGAGGAGGAGGAGGAGGAGGAGGAGGAGGAGGAGGAGGAGGAGGAGGAGGAGGAGGAGGAGGAGGAGGAGTCC